TAACCCTAAAACCCTAAACCCTAAACCCTAAACCCTAAACCCTAAACCCTAAAAAACCCTAAACCCTAAACCCTAAACCCTAACCCTAAAAACCCTAACCCTAAACCCTAAACCCTTTGGGCCCTAAAATAATATACCCGTTTCCTGCTTCCTGCTTGTAGACCATCACGTTGTATACTAATTTACTAGGGACAATAAAGAAAAACCTTTTGAATATTCATTCGACCTTTTCACCACGTGAAAATGAGCTGGCGACCCATATAGTGACGGTAGTTACGAGGGCGGTTAACGTGCAAATTTGTCTTCATAACGTGAATTAATACAAGACCACGATTTCTTTTTGTGATGAATATCATGTCTTTCTTCCCGTATCGAAGGTTCAAATATTTAGCTTTTCGCGATTGGATTTTAGGGCCTTTATTCATTACGCTTCTCCTTCAACCTGCCTTCAAAGGCACCACTCTCAGCCCCCCATCTATCAAGTACTGTCCATTCAAAATCCTCAAAAAGCAAGACAACAACTTCCAATGGCTGCTTTACGAAGAGTCCGATCCAATAATTCTTCCAAAAGAAAGTCGTTTCGTCAAAGACAGTGCCGTCGCAAGACAAATATAATGAAAAAGGCATCTGAATATAGTAAGATGTGTGATGCCGATGTATGCATAAGTATTCGCATACGGGAGACGGGTCAGATACATATTTTGTCTGCGGATACTTCGGGATTTTGGGCTTTTCTTCCTTTGCAACTGGTATATCAACTCTAAATGATACAGCACAATCCATCGAAATGAACGCTGATTTGTCAGGGCTCCTATTACCTAACCCCCACTGTGATAACGGATCGCGATTTAAAGAAAGCCAAACAAGATACTGCTTCCAAGGACTCACTATAGGCTCTCAACAGCATAGGGTTTATGAACACGTTTTACACTCGACTTAGATTTCCTCCGTAGAATGTCGTGAATTAAGGATCTTGAGCTGCTTTGACATTTATAATACACTCCGTCCCGAAACTGGTGCACCCACCTGCACTCTTCTAGTTACGGGTATCGCTGACTAATAGCTACCTGAAAAATTACTTCAGCTCCTCAGACCACAGCCAATAATGAGACAGAACTCGGCCACGCTAACCCGATTAGCGTTGTTCGACTGAAAGGAAATATCACTGACAGGGGGAAAATCAACGAAAGGGGGAGTTATAAGACTCTAGAAGTTTAGAAACAAGATGCGGGGGTATTTAGACCAGGGAGGTTTAAAAACCACAGTCGTAAAACCCTGGTGGTCTAAAAACCACAGGCCGCAAGCGATGTATAGTATGTGTGTGTGTGTGTGTGTGTGATTCATTTACGCTGACCCCTCGCTAAGCGATATGCAGCATACAACAACTATATATCAATGTACGTACATGTATCGTGTACCACTTCTTAAACGATCTTGGAGCCTCGTTGGGGCCTGCCGTGACCTTGTGGCGTTGTTCGAATTTGGTTGCATCTCTGCAAGGAAGCGCGAGAATGCGGGCAATGCTGAAGTCAGGAACTTGGACAATGATTTTGTTGCGGATACCGAATTGTTGCGAATTTGACTAGCTGAGCGTTTCTTTGTCTTGGACTCGAGCTGGAATGGCGATGGTTTGTTGTAAAACCGGCGGTGAAGATCTTCTATTGTGAGTATAGGTCTAGTGGGAGGGACGGGTTCTCGGGTTTTAGGAATTGATCGTGGTGAAGTCGTGGTGAGGTGCTGGAGGACCGAAGCATAGGTTGGCTGATGGCTTAGGGGTAGGGTAGTGATACTTGATGTTGGATGGGGAGGCTGAGGAGAGACGGTCGGTGGAGGTAAACGTGATTCTGGGTCGGTTGTGCTGGATGGTGGTGGAGCACGGGAGTCGTTAGAATATTCCTCTGCTGTAGGAGGCACCTTTTGTGCTGGTTTGGCTTGTGTTTGTGTAGTCGCGTCGGTGGTCATCTTCTTAGGTTGTTCGCGCTTCGAGGAAAGAAAGGGGCTAGGGTCTGACCGAGGCGGAGGGAGTGTATCGGTTGAAGAGGAGTGCGTGTCGGTGGAATCGAGATGTTGTTTTAAGTCACTGGAGATGACCTTCCATATGCAGTCTGCTCTATGTAGTTGCTATATCTCTTGGAGAGGTAGGCGCTGGAAGCTGTCTAGGCCTTTGGCTGACTGACACGCAAAGCAGCAAACCAGGCCGCCACCGGAGAGAGGTTGGTAGTGAAAGCCATTCTTGGCCAGCTGAAGCGGAGTGACGCCACTGAGCACCTGTCCGCGGAATGACAGAGCTCTGGCCGTGATGGTGGAATAGGTGGTCGAGATAAAGAATTTCTCCTGTGTGGTCCGTTGTGGGGTAGGTAGCTCGGGTGGAGTGGGGGGAGTCACGGATTTTGAGATAGAGGATGGTCGGCGGAGAGGTGGGAAAGGCTTCCTGCCTGCCCTGGGATCTGGAGGCTTAGGATTCATCCTTCTAAAGGTCTACCGCTATCTCTCGATATGATCACCGACGCGGTACCGACGCGGTACAGTCGCGATGTACAGTAGTTTTCGAAATCAATTTGATCTTTTACTCTTTCCACTTGATTCCCGGAAAATATTTCCGAAATACGCTAATCCTATTTAGGGTCACCGCTCTATTAGTTGGGCAGAATTCTGCTTGTAATGACAATAACTCCTCTAAGGACGTATCGTACCCAACCAGTAATGATATATCCCTTGGTAGATCTGGCGATCTGGCGAGATCTTCCGCCCGCTTTCCGCCTTCCCACCAGTCCTGGGTTGCCACCTTGCCCCCATTCTTCCCACATGCAGCACAGCCTTTCGTGTTATTGCTTTACGCCCGTTAGCTATCACACAGAAGGCCGTGCTTACGCTGTAGAGAGCTAATCCTGGTAGGGAAGGATATTTACTTTTTTTTCTCAATGGCACTAGAATCTTATGGCTCTGCCCCGTACCACCGCCTTTTGACGTAATTGGGACCTACAGGATTCGTTTGAAACAAAGCGATGCGCCCGCCATCACACCCTGTCACTAGTTTGTTGACACGTTCGCTTAGAATCCGGCGATTGCTCAAACGCGCTAAGTTTGAAAACCGGAGACTGCTTTGCTGGCAGGGATCAGGTATCCAAGTAAATTTTATCTCGAAACACCATTTGGAACAAATGGAGAGTTGATAAACGTGGCGCCACTGCTAGCCTTGTATTAACCGCCGGTGCTTAGGATGCGAGTCATGACAAGAGCATCTGGGAGGATTTTCCCGAACATATATTCTGCGCCATTTCTGCAGTTGGCTTATATTCAATGATCGAGCCTTTGAATTCGGAAGACTATTTATTTTCTCAATATCCCAAACATATGAAGATGGAAAACAACCTTATCCCGAATGATCTTCCTCTGGAAAACAGTCCTACATCTCGTGAAGCACTTATGAAGAGGGTAACGAAACGACTACTTCGTTACGCACTTAAAAGGTAGGCAAAAATTGAGATCCGTCGTTTTCATTTATCTCATGACATCAACCACTAGGACTGGCACCAAGTTGATCCTCATTCTTGGGCATTTACGATCCGGAAAATCAAGTCTTTTTGAATCCCTGACCGGTGCAACTGGTCATTCAAAAAAGGGCATTGACTCAGGTGATAAGATTTTGCCCCATTCGATAAGATCCCTCATCGACTAATTACTTTGAATGATAGTGACCAAAGAGTACCAAATTGGCGCCGCGAATATCAACGGGAAGCTCTACTTATTTGTCGATACCCCGGGGCTTAAAGACCCCAGCATCTCCAATGCTGATATTCTTCGTGAGATTGCAAAGTTACTTGATACGACCAAGGACTCCGTGACATACGCCGGTGTTCTATATGTACACCCGGCTACTTTGCAATTCTCGGACGAAGCAAAGAAGAGCCTCCTTTTTCTGAACGCATTCTGTGGTCCGTCATATTCTCCTTCCATTACTTTCGTTACCACCATGTGGGACCGCATTAGCCCCGATGAGATAGAGGAACAAGATGAGCTGGTGAACGAGATGGCAAGAGCGAAATGGTCATCGTTCCTGGACAGGGGAGCGAACTTGTATCACCATGGCAGAGCCTATGAAGGGGACACGGCAACACTTGAAGTCCTCAGTCTCAGAAAAAAGCCAGAGGTTCGGCAAAAATACGCGAGAGAAGCTATTTCACGATTATATCCACTGGACAAAAACCATGCCGCGCCTCTAATTATTCAAGAGCTGAGAGTGAACACTCTACTGGAGGATACAACAGCTGGAAAGCTTCTTGGTATGATTGGTCTGCAGATTCCGACCGACGATGCCCAGCAAAATGATACCTCCCAAAACCCTGTGCAACAGAGTCGCCCAGAAGGGTTTGATTGGTTCCATGCGATAGTTGCTGCAATCAAATTTCCATTGGACCAAATTACTGCCTTTCTGGCGGCTCTTTGGAATCTTGTCGCTGCACTCAAATCTGCCATATTAGCTTTGATGCCTTCATCAACAATCACAGTATCGGTCCCTCGCTTTACAGGGTATAGTGTGGAAGTCTTGTTCACACTACCTGGAGGGCTGAGATTCATTGTTGGATATGGACTTCGAGGTCCCTATCTAAGACCATGGTCTTCTCAAGCGGCTAATTTTGCGTCGGAAATTGACTCTGAAGATGACAATGTAGATGGGCCAGATATGCCTGTCAGTATAACGTTGGATCCTGAGGTTACAGAACAGGAAGAGACGTTCGGGATGGACGGACCTGATGTGCGCCCTGAATATCTGGCTGTTAGCACAGCATTTGAGCGAGTTCTCTCTGTACAGGAAGGTTATTTGCCAGCTAATCAGGAGAATCATGTTCAGACGGACACTGAAGAAAGCGACTCGTGGTGGTGGGAACGGTGTGCCATGATGTGACTACTGCTTATACATGAGTCCAATATTGCCTTAGTCTTCCTCGGATATCATTATTCAGAGCCTTCCTACTTTGCATTCTCCTTTGCTTTCATTCTCTAGCTTTCTTTCTGCTTCTGACAGTGACCTCTGTTGCTCTTTTACGCTGCAACGCATACAGCCAGAGTAGCCAAAGAATTGTCTGGTCTGTTTTTTCAATACACAATAAAGAGCACAGACAAGAAACCACGATCCAGGAGCTATTTGTATGCTAAACATTGCTCTTCTACCTGGTTGCCGCCAAGAATATAACGGTAAGCACCGAGCTGATGTGCAGGAAGTTGCAGCTCGTTAACAAAGGAAGAGCAGGGTGAGGAGGTACCGCGTGTCTGCGCATTTCGTGTAAAATACGCCACCCATGGTACTAAAAATGTATTGTAAGATACACAGACTAATATAGAAAGCGGTCTAGATTAAATATCTTAAAATAACATCCAATCAGAACTCGCATATTTGAGATTTATTTTCCGGGATTCAAGTCCAAAGAGTGTGAGGTCAAACTGAATTCGAAAATTACTGTATATAGTCAGTACATGTTCTCTTAGTTGATTTAGGGTATATCCCCGATGTGTAGATACGTACCCGTGGCACTGATCAGCTCGCTGGAAGAAGCAGGCGGTGGAAAAGTCCACCGCCTTTTTGGGTGGGGCGGCTGAGGGAACTGAGGTAAGTATCTCCTGCCTCCGGGATCGACCTATCCCGTTGCATTCCGACAACTATCCGAGTGCACGTGATAAAGGCACACGCGGGGCAAACGAAAAACCCCTCTTCTCAGCCAGCCAGACTGCCGAGCATTTCAGATTTGGCCATCTTTCTTCATGACTCAAAACGTGTTGCTCCTTCTTCGAGATTTTAAGGTCCTGATGATATATGGTACAAATACAGGTGTCCTAAGGTGAGGATTTTGGGTTATCGCCTACTAAAAATTCACATTGGTTTACTCGCTCACACAGTGTTCCTGACATGGCAATGCAGTCATCATCTCGCATTAGAGCGGAATATACACATCTTTCAAGCCCATTCCACCTCTCCCCAAAGTCGTCTCTCACGGCAAAAATACACCCCCCATAAACTCTGTTATCCACAAACGTATCAACCCACTTTCCAGAAGAACGCAGTGAAGATGACACTGGCAGCAAACATGACTCCAGCAAAAGTAGCAAACATGATCACCATGTTCGGATCCCGTGCAGCCGGCGAGAGCGCAAGACCTAACACGGCACTACCGGCGTTTGTGGAGGCAAAGATCGCCTGGACGATCGACTTCATCCCTGCCGGGGCCTGATTGTAGGCAAACTCCGACCCGGACACCGAGAAGAAAACCTCGCCTACAGCGCCCAGAAAGTAGACGGGGACCTGCAGGGCGACACTCACGTCGTTCGGTTGCGCGTCCGCAACGACCGCCGGGCATTTCTGGGGATGGCGGTAGCAAGGGGGGGCGCGGTACACCATCTCCTCGACGCCGGCTGCCACGGCCATGCTTGCCGCGGTAATGAAGAAGCCTATGGCCATACGGGCTGTCGGCCGTAGCGGGCAGCCGATGCGAGACATCAACGGGTACACGACCTTGTTGAGAACCGGAACGGTCACGAGGACAAAGATCGGGTTCAGCATGGCAAGGATGTCGTTGGGAATACCGTACGTTTTCATGTCTGCCGCCTGAGAGACAAGGTTGGTTTGATTCTGGCTGAAACACAGCCAGACAATTGGGTAAACAAGCCTGTATCACTCATTATGCGTCAACCGCGCTTATTTCGGCAGAATAGGTAGTTTTTTCTCTGTGTTGGGGTAAGGCAGAGAGCGAGGAAGGAATGGAGAAAGACCCGGAGGGAGTGGTGGTGATCTCCCTCCCGAGCTGGTCGACTTACGCCACTCTGCAGGCATGTACGGCCTTTCTAATATTTGCAATGAATTCGTCATCCCAATGGACCACTCGTCCATGGGCCGAGAGCTGATGGCTTGCTCGAGCATCGTCTAACTTGCACTTCCCCCGGATGGCGAGCCACAAGGCCAGGAAGAGTTTGGGGACCATTCCTTTCTCCCGCCTCGGCTGAACTAGCATCCCCACTTAGCCCCGCGTCTGGATTCGTGAAGGGGAAGAGGGTGCAGACTTACCATAGAACTTGCGACCGAGGATAAAGCCACCCAGCCCCGTCGAGAGGGTGCAAAGCGGGAGCAGAAAGGCAGCCCAGAAACCATATTTTTTCTCTATTACTGTTGTCAACATCCCAAGCAATCCGCCTAAATTGATCACCCTGTATCGATGGCCTTAGCTTGGAAAGGGAGTGAAAGAGGAAAGAGAGAGCACAAGGGAGCAAGCAGACCAGTAGTAGAAGCTGTAAACCCGTCGGATGGTCATCTCACGGTCGATGATGACGGTTTCGCCGTCCTTTGTCTTCGCGGTTCGAGTGACTGACTCGTGCAGCTGGTCCACTAAAATTGAGGTGCCCTGGTCAGTGTGGATTCCCTTCCTGCTGGTCAGAGCATACGTACCCATCATCGGTGAAACAGAAGACTTGATCCCCCCGATTCCTACCCCCACCAGCACCAATGCACATATCAAACCAGCGAGCCCAGCATCGTGTCCCGACAAGGAAGGAACGGAGGTGATGAAAACAACTAGGAGGCCAGCAACGTAGACACTAAGCATTGGACCGAAGTGAGTCAGTCCACGATCATCACGTCCAGGTCGATCTCCCGCCAGGCACCCGACTGGGCGCAGGAGAAGTGGCCAACCTACGCTGCTGAGCACGAAATGGTCCAAAACTGTCCGATGGATCCGTCCGCGAACGTCGCCGCCAGAAGGGGGGACAGATAGCTAAGCACATTGAGAAAACAGTTCAAAGCATAGGCTACGGATTGGCCCCGGCCTAGGGCTCCCGGCCGCAGGGCTTCGGAGTGTGGATTCTGAATATAATTCTCTAGGTTCACGCCCCAGGTTGTCAGTCATCCTCTCGCGGTCTGCGGTGCAGCAGGTGGGTTTTTGCCGGAGTCATACGGAGCGGGGCGGTGAATGCGGTGTAGGAGAATCTCTCCACGCCCGCAAACAACATGATCAACCAGGTTGCAAGCGGGATGTGATCCGAGACGCGCCGCAAGGAACTCTGCTCATTCTCTGTGGGCTCTGCAGCGAGGACGATTTGAGTCTTGCCCTCTGACATGGCGACTGTGATGTTAGCTGTTTTGAGTCCGCCCGTGGAGTTGGAGACTGAAAGGGCAAAAAGGAGAGAGCAAGAGCAAGAGAGAGAAAGAGAAATAAAGAGAGAGAAAGAGAAATAAAGAGAGATAGAGGGGAGGTGTGGAATTCCGGTCAGTCCATCCATCCACGGACTACCTAACTTTCTAAATAGGTTGGTCTGGTTTCGTCTGTCTACGAGTCTATTCTTGAGATGGGGCTTGCTGTACTGAATGTGGGTAGCTTGAACGATGGTGGCAGGACCCAGGCACGAAGATGCAACCCTCCATTCCGCTAAGCCTGTGGCTACCACCTCAAATTGCAAAAATACAAAGATACAAGATACGGAGCGCTATGCAGTACAGTATTTAGCACTGAGGGCAAAGTTCCACAAGTGGATACCTACGCCGAAGCAGATCGATGTCGTGCCGCCTCCACGCCTCACGGACGTATCGGGACCGATACCTCCCTATAAGAAGCATCCTCGATCGGGGACGAGGTTCTCAAGGAATGAAAGAAAAGAAGCCAGATCAAAAGAGACAACCATGTTGAAGTTCTCCGACCTATCTGCCTCTGCCCCAGCCGTCGCCAAGGGCTCAAGCCTGTCGGGGGATAGTTCCGCCGCTCTCGAGCAAGATCCCTATGCCTTCGCCAATCTTACTCCCTACGTGCACCCGCCCGAGACCACCGAGGATCTGTTTTGGAGTGACCTGGTGACCCTGGACCTGTCCGATTTCACGAAGCCGGGAGGTAAGCAGCGACTGGCCTCGCAGCTATCGGACGCGGTGCAGAAGGTGGGATTCTTCTATGTGAAGAACTTTGGCCTCTCGCAGGAGCAGATCGATCGACAATTGACCCTGGCGAAGAACTTCTTTTCGCTACCCTTTGCTGACAAACAGCAATACAGCGTGGACTACGAGAAGGGCGACTACAATGGATACCGCTGGGGTGGGTACCGTGCCGACGGCAGCCAGTCCGCCAACAACCACGGCGACAATATCGAGGCCTACAATATCCCCAAGTTCATTCCGGAGCTCGCGGGCAAATATGCGCAGCCGCCGCTCTTGCAGCGTCATCATGCCGAGATCGCAGCCTTCACGCGACACCTGCATGAGCATATCGTCGCCCCGCTGATGGTTCTCTTTGGCATCATCCTCGAGCTGCCGCGGGAGGATCTGTTGCAGAAAATGCACAGCTACGACCAGCTTTCCGATGACCACTACCGATACATGAAGTATTCCCGCCGGACTCCGGAGCAGCACCGGGCCAGTGATGGCGTGCAGGTCAAGGGACACTCCGATCTCGGTAGTTTGACCTTGTTGTTTCGCCAACCCGTCGCCGGCCTCCAGATCCTTGGGGATGACTGGCAGTGGCGCTACGTGCGGCCCCTGCCAGGTACTGTGACCGTCAATCTGGCGGACACACTCTCCCTCCTGACGGGTGGCTTCTTCAAATCGTCCATCCACCGGGTCGTGGCCCCCCCGCGCGATCAGTGGGGGTATGATCGCTTGGGCCTGCTGTACTTCGCCCGCCCCCACAACGATACCGTGCTGCGACCCTTGGTCTCGGAGTCCCCCGTGCTCCAGCGGAATCGGCATCTGCTTACCGAAGGTTTCACGCGACCCATTACCATGGCGGAGTTTACTGTGGCCAAACAACGCATGCTGCTCAACCCACATCTGTATGAAGAGAAACGTGATCAGCATGGGGATGTTGAGTTGATCGCTGGCTTTAAGGATCACCGGTATGTGTAGTAGATTCGATCCTTGCACTTCGGCGTCGGGCGAGAAGAGCTGAAGGGCTCTTCCTCGATGTGGGGAGTCCAAACTCCAATTCAACATTTTGCTTCGCGCCATTGACTCTTGAGCTAGCTCCTAACGCACAATCTAAACTAGACCGTGTAAAATTGGAAGTAACCCGACGTAGTACCAGAACCAAGCCAGCTCGAAAAGGTCCGTTGCGCTGACCCTTTATGCTAACGAAACCTGAAACACCGGCTCCGGTCACGTAGACATTATTTGCAACACTCGCCAATGCAGTGTGCGGGCTAGAATCCACTTTCTAATGTCCGGCGGGCCACCGGTCACGGTTGCTTACGCAAATTCTTAGCATAAATACGATCGTGACAGGATGTCGACTTAGTTCGGAGGGCCGTTCCAACTTCCTAGGGAGACTAGATGGCAAATATGAATTGAGGTATGCGCCAAGCTTAGCTGATTGACACTACGGTTCTGGCGGATACCACTGGGACAGCCACAACTTTTCGGCTCAGGCAAATGCCCCACTATGTAAGCTTCGGCTACTGTATAACTTCGGTCGAGGCACGATTGAGGTTAGTTCGGAGAACGGGGGGGGAAATGCCACCCGGCAACATCTGGATCTACTGTATGCTAGCAGAGCCCCGGGAATGAATAAATGTAATTCGATCAGAAGTTGTCAATGCATTCTGACAGATGTGCCAACTTTGAGTGTCAGACCCCAAGAATAGTCATGAGTGAGGCCACCGTCACTCTACCTTGGCAGAAAGCCACTCCGGGTCACGATCTCGCAGAGTGCTCCCTCTATGCGGCGTGGGTGATTCTTGCAGCCTCCTATGCGGATCAGTCCAGCATTCGCTTCGCAGTACAGAGGCATGCCCCGCAACATCAGCAAAAGAGAATGCGTCCCGTCCCGGATGAGATGACTTATGAGATTGATTGGGACCATACTGTCCCACAGGCCCTGGAGAATCTGAGACGGAGCCTTGCCACCTTATCTGGTGATGCAGCCGGAGATGACGAGCCAGTCTCGTCCGCGGCCTTGTCGGATCAACAGCGTATCGCTCCATTCCAATTCGTGCTCTTCCACGAGGCCGAGCCGGGCGAGGAGCTGGGGACCGGGCGTCCGAGCTGCATGAGCGCTGCGGCTCATGGCCGGTATGCCCTGATCGTCCGGTGGCAGAAGCAGACCACAGGAGTCAAAGTGCAGGTCTATGCCCGGATCGGTCTGGGAGGGACTTTGCGAGCCCGCCGGCTGGCCTCCCAGCTGCAACACATTCATGCACAACTGCTCGCGCCGGCATCAATGGGTCGGCAGCTGGCGGAGCTAGACACTGCTAGTGAGGAGGACCTCCACCAGATTTGGACCTGGAACGCCGATGTCCCCAGGGCTCATGACAAGCTAATTCACGAATTATTCGACCAGAGAGCCATAGCCGCTCCCACCATGTCCGCTATCTGCGCCTGGGATGGGGAGTTCTCATACGAGGAGCTCCGCATGCACTCGAACCGACTAGCCAGGGAGCTCGTCGCCCGGGGAGTGGGATCTGGGGATGCAATTCCACTCTGTATAGAGAAGTCGCGCTGGATGCCAGTGGCCATGTTGGCGGTGATGAAGGCCGGTGCGGCGTGTGTGGCACTGGACGTCGACCAGCCCTGGGAACGACTGCGAGTGATCGTGGATCGCGTCACCCCGTCGTGGATTGTGGCCAGCGCCGACAACTGGTTACTAGCGTCAAGACTAGCTGGACAAGACATAGGAGTGGTGGACGTGGCGCACACACGAGGGACCACTCCAGCCACCGCCGACGGACCCCTCCCCCGGGGAGCCCATCAGATGCTGCCTATATCACATTCACCTCGGGAAGCACGGGCGTCCCCAAAGGGGCCATCATCAGCCATGGCAATGTGAGTAGCGGGATCTATCTTCAGGCGGCCAAACTAAATTTTACTGAGTCGTCGCGCGTGTTTGACCTCGCCCCCTATTGCTTCGACCTCGCCTGGTCGAATATGCTGCATTGCTTGTGTATGGGCGGATGCCTGTGTGTCCCCCGTCTTCAGGACTGCCAGGCGGACCTTTCGGGCACCATCCAGCGCTTTGGGGCCAACATGATGAACATCACCACCTCCGCGCTGCGTCTAGTGCACCCAGACACGGCTGGGCTCCATACGATTCTCCTTTGTGGCGAACCTGCGGATGAGGACGTGGTGAGTACCTGGGCATCCCGGGTGCAGCTCTTCAATACGTATGGCTCCGCCGAATGTCCCTCCAAAGGCGCCTTCACCCATGTGCCGGCGAGCCAGCAGGGTAAACCCCCGATTGGAAAGGGTCTTGCCACCAACACCTGGGTGGTTAACCATCGGAACGGTGCCGGTCTCTGCGGCATCGGCATGATCGGGGAACTGTGGGTGGAAGGCCCGATCGTCGGGCAAGGGTATTGGCGGGATGAGAAACAGACGCACGCGGCGTTCATCGTCGACCCCCGTGGATCCGGCAGGGAACTCCTAAACATGGCGGCCGTCGGGCCAGACTTTACCGGACCGGCGATCTGGTTCACTATCGAGACGATGGGTCCCTGGAATTCGTTGGGCGCAAAGACCAGATGGTCAAGATTCGCGGCCAACGGGTGGAATTGGGCGAGGTTGAGAACGGTATCCGGCAGTATTTCTCCACGTCGACCCTGAACAACATCAACGAGGTGGTGGTGGAGGTCATTCTCCCTGCTCAGGGCGAGCGTCCGCTCTTGGTGGCACACCTGGGCATAGGTGAAGGACGCACGGATGCGCTGGGACCGGTCATTGACGATCTGAAGGCGTGGCTGGTCGGGCATTTGCCGCACTATATGGTTCCGTCTCTCTTTCTCCCCCTCCAATATTTGCCCCGAACCGCCACTGGCAAGATAGATCGTCGCAAGTTGCGCGAGACCGGCAGCGGCTGGAAGCTTCTCGAATTAGGCGCCCTGGACCCCAGGTTTAAGACGGTCAAACAGAACCCTGAAACGGAGATGGAAAATTGCCTGCGAGAACTGTGGTCCATTGTGCTGGGTGTGGAGGTGACTTCAATCAGTACGAGCGACAACTTTTTCTTGCTCGGCGGAGACTCTATCACCGCGATTCGCCTGGTCAGCGCTGCTCGCCACCGGAACTTGGCATTGACCGTCGAGGACATTTTCCGCTACCCCGAGATGCGGGAATTGGCTAAGCAGATCGGGATCAAGGATGCCCATGAGGCTCTTTCAGAATCGAGCATCCTGCCGTTCTCTCTGTTGCCTCGGAAGTCCCCATCACATCGGCAGGTGGCCCAAGACTGCGCCACCGCGTGTAGAGTGAGGGTCGAGTCGATCGAGGATATTCTCCCGTGTACGCCGACTCAGGAAGCTTTCATGGCGGTGACGGCGCAGTCTGACAATGTGAGTGCGTTGAACCCATATATCTTTGCGCTCCCCGCCCTGGTCGAGCGACAAGCGTTCATAGCCACCCTGAAAGCGGTCGTCAACGACCTGCCCATCTTGCGGACCCGCATCGTCGATGTTCCAGGGAGAGGCTTGGTGCAGGTGGTGATCAAGGAGCGTGGTGACATTGTGAGAGCGGACACCATATCTGGCTGTCTCGAGCAGCTCGGCCACCAGTCTAAGGGAGGTCTGGGAGAGCCCTTGAGTCTCTTCGGTGTCATCACGGAAGGGCAGACTGCGCATCTGCTTCTGTCCATGCATCACGCAGTCTATGATGGGTGGTCTCTATCCTTGATCCTCGATCAGGTGCAGGCCACATATCGAGGACACGGGAAGAACGACCTCCGGTCAATGAAGACGCTTCTGTACCACCGAGATCTGATTGATCATCAGAACGCCGAACAATTCTGGCGATCCCAACTCCGCGACTGTCAACCTCCACCCTTCCCTTTCATGCCCGTGATCACCGGTCAGCGCCCGATTTCGAAGAACCGATTCGTCCATGAGATTAAGCATCTCTCCTGGCCAGCGGGCGGAGTCACGGCAGCAACAATGATTCGGACCGCCTGGGCGCTGCTAATATCTCGCTATACTGGCTCCGATGATGTTGTTTTTGCCGCAGTCGTGAGCGGGCGCCAGGTGCCTATCCCAGCAGTTGAGACGATTGCGGGACCCACGGTGGCGACAGTTCCGGTGCGAGTCCAGATAAACCCCGACGATTCGGTTCACAGCCTGCTCAGCCAGCTTCAGCAGCAAGGAGTGGATATGGTGGCCTTTGAGCTGACGGGAATTCCCAATATCACACGCGCAGCAGTGGGAGTGGACCTCGCTCGCGTCATGGAGACCATGCTGGTGATTCAACCCCGGGAGAGTCAGCCCGGAAGCTTTTTTAAGGCGGAGGACAAGAAGCAGCTTCCTGACCGAGACGAATTGGCCGCGTTCAATACCTTTGCTCTCATGCTTGAGACCCATTATCAAGGCACAGAGGCCTTGTCTACCTGCTTCCGGTTTGACGATCGCATCATCAACGCGGAGCAGGTCCGTTTGCTGGCCGCGCACTTCGAGCGGCTTCTTCGTCAGATCAGTGCCGCAGACGTGAGCAACCGCATCAGAGACCTCGACTGTCTGAGCGAGCTAGATTCGCGACTGATCTGGAAGTGGAATGCACGGGTACCAAGCGCGGTGAATGAGGTGGTCCATGTTCTGATCGACCGAACGACGGACGGTCTGGAGGCGGAAGCGGTCTGCGCGTGGGACGGATCCGTCACGTATGCGGAGCTCCGACTCTGGTCCAACACACTGGCGCTTGCGCTGGGTCAGTGGCAGGTGGGAGTCGAGACGCCCGTCGTACTCTGTCTGGAAAAATCGAAGTGGATGCCTGTTGCAATGCTGGGGGTCATGAAGGCTGGGGGCGTGGCGGTTGCTCTGGACATCACCCAACCGAAGGAACGTCTTGCGACAATTGTGCGTCAGGTCCGACCTCGACTGATTGTCACGTCTGAGACAGCGGAATGTCTGGCCAGGGATCTTCTACCAGAATCTCCACCACTGGTAGTCTCCAAGCATGTAATGGTTGCTGGTGGCTCCGCCCCGGTTCGCAGTCCTCGGGTACAGGTAACGCCCTCCAATCGGCTCTTCATCGTGTTCACCTCAGGCACGACCGGCACCCCGAAGGGAGTCATGATCACACACTCCAACTTCAGTAGTGCCATGGAACATCACAGGGTGATGACCGGTCTCAACCAACACTCGCGAGTGTTTGACTTTGCCTCCCATTCTTTTGACGGAGCCTGGGTCAACGTACTCGAGACCCTGCACGCGGGAGGCTGTGTATGCATCCCATCCGAGGATGAGCGGCGGAATGATCTCGCAGGCGCCATCCAACGCCTACGAGCCAATTTCACCTACCTACCCCCGTCATTGCTGCGTTACCTGGATCCGTCTGATGTCCCGACTCTTGAGACGGTGTATATGGTGGGCGAGGCGGTGCCTAAGGATCTGCGGGACCGGTGGATGGAGTCTTGCCATGTGGGTGTGGCATATGGCCCGGCGGAATGTACCGTTACCTGCACTATGACAAACTGGCGGCATGGTCATAGTACCTCCTCGGATATTGGGGTCGGAGTCGGCGTCAATACCTGGGTCGTCGACACTCGGAGCCCAGCAATGGGGCTTGCGCCTGTCGGGGCAGTGGGTGAGCTATGGCTGGAAGGGCCTTTGGTCGGGCCAGGGTATCTCGACAATCCGGCCGCAAATGCAACGGCTTTCGTTAAGGACCCCATGTGGTTACGGCAAGGCCACGCGAGTGGCCGGGGTCGAACTGGCAGACTTTATCGTACTGGCGACTTGGTTCGATATCACCACGATGGGTCGCTCCGCTTTGTCGGGCGGATGGATACCCAGGTTAAGCTGCGTGGGCAGCGTATCGAGCTCCAGGAAGTGGAGCACTCCTTCCGATCAAATTTGCGTGCTCCAGACCACGCTCTGCGGTTGGCTGCAGAGGTCATCGTGCCCATGGGCACAACGACGCCTACTCTCGTAATCTTCCTGGAGATGACTGAATCCAAACTCGGTGCCGAGAAGACAACCGGGTTTTCTAGTCATCTCGAGAGGGGTTTGGAGGGAATCGAGGAGAAGCTGCAGAACAAGCTTCCTCACTACATGATTCCATCCGCGTATGTGGCGATCGATAAGCTGCCTCTTACATCAACGGGGAAATTGGATCGCCGCAGAATCAAGGAACTGGGGGCCCAATGCACTCGGAAGGACCTCAGACCGTTGACACAGCCTCAATCTCCAATGGAAAGTCAATCTCCCCTCAGTTCGACGGAGGAAACCTTGCAAAGAATTTGGAGTCAGGTGCTCAATGTTCCCGCGCAGGATATATCTCGGGTGTTCTCCTTCAGTCGCCACGGGGGAGATTCCATTACTGCTATGCAGGTAGTTTCCCGCTGCCGGGCACATTCAATTACACTCTCTGTCAGTCAGCTCCTCAGCGGACAAACCATCCAACGGATTGCGTCGGAATCAAAATTCGAAGCGAAGGATCTTCAAGATGGGGTAAAATGTGAGCCATTGAGTCATGATGCATTCGGACTATCTCCGATCCAGCAGATGCATTTTCAGATATATCCTAACGGTCTGCACCACTATAACCAAGCATTCCTGCTCCGACTCCGGATCAGAGTCGAGACAGAAAGATTTCGGCTCTCCGTAACCGACATCGTCCGCCGTCATGAAATGCTCCGGGCCCGGTTCCGGAAGACTGGTGCTGGCACTTGGGAGCAGTATATTGCGGAAATGGCTGAAACCGCTTTTCGGTTTACCTTCCATATCGTCATGACCCGGGACGATATGCAAGCTTTGGCGCGAGCGGAGCAAGAATTCCTGGATATCGGTCGAGGCCCTGTGTTTGCTGTAGCGCTTTTCACGAGCGCTGAGGATGACACGCAGTACGTGCTTTTCACTGCGCATCATCTCGTCGTGGACCTTGTTTCCTGGAGGATTCTCTGGTATGACCTAGAGCAGATCCTCCTCACTGGGTTCATGGGTCCTGCACCGACTACATCATTTCAGTTCTGGTGCAGTCACCAGCACAAGCAGGTGGAGCGTCTGCTTGCACAGGATGTGTTGCTTCATGATGTCAGGCGTCCGGAGCTCGAATACTGGGGTTTGCCGATGGAGGACAACCTCGAAGCGGGCTTTGTGGCGGAGGAACGACGCATTGACATTGGTATCACTTCCACTTTATTTCAAAAGGATTCCCATCATGCAGACCATATTGCTCCTGTAGATATTATTCTTGGGGCGATTCTGTACGCATTCCAGGCATCCTTTCCTGATCGATCGGTTCCAACTGTCTTCTTTGAAGGTCACGGTCGAGAGCCGTTACTGGGCACCGACGCTGCCGCTGGGCTGGATCCCAGCTCGACAGTCGGTTGGTTCACCACAGTGCATCCCCTGCGGATCTCCATGCAACCGACGACACCGCTCTTGGAGGTAATCCGCCGCATTCGATGGGGCAGAGATGCTGTGCTTGGTCGTGGACAACCATATTTCTCATACTGCTATTCAGGGGCGTCGAGTGCAGAGACCATCACTTTCCGTCCTCACGAAGGGGTCGAGCTCCTATTCAACTACTCGGGAACGTATCAACAGCTGGAAACCAGCCAGGGCATCTTTGAGCGCGGTCCTGAGGAAGAAGTTCCCAATCAAATTGCGCCCAGTGCAAGGCGATTGGGTCTTGTTGAGGCCAGCGCTCGAGTCCACCGGGGTCAGTTAGTCTTTACCGTCGAGCGCCACCGCCGACTTGACGACAGAAGGACCCAGTTTGTCCAATGGATGGATGGCGTTGTAGACGCTCTCTCCGATGCTGTCGGCCAATTACGCCAGATCAATACGGTCCTTTTTGGCCTACACGTGTCCGATCTCTCTGTTCTGGAACACTGTCTCCTGGCACACGGCCTTACAGTTAATGACGTCGAGGCTGCATATCCTTGTACTTCGTTTCAAAATCATATGCTGAAGGCTCAGTCCTCCCAGGATCCGGCCATATACAGGATAATGCTCCAGCTGAAGGTGCATCTCCACGGGGGTGACTCGCAACATTCGTCGACCCATTTGCGTAATACCTGGAACACGATCGTGGATCGGATGGAAACCCTACGAGTTCTATTCTGGTCCGACTGTGGTCAGACGGCATCCCAGCTCGTCCTGAAGCCTGCGGCCTTCCGTCTCTACCAGTCGACGAAGAAGCCCGGGCTCTTGGGAGATTCGCACCGGTTGGAGATCCAAGAGACAGATTCCCATCTCCTTGTCTCTCTCGAAATCAACCATGCAGTCGTAGATCGGATATCGATGAACCAGATCATCACTGAGTGGGAGGCAGCCTATTACCAGGATGCTCCCGCTGCCTCGTTGCCCGTCCACTTGCGTCCCGTGATCCCGGAGATATTGCATCTGGAACAACTGGAGAGGCCGGCTCTATTCTGGCGTGAGGTGTTAAAGACTGCAGTGGGTCCATTCACAGTTCCTGTCAATGACCGTTGGGGCCGGCGTGCCCAAGATGTACGAATCCTGACCCTGCGTATACCTCGATTGGCCGAGATCAAGAGGGTGGCACAATCGCACGATGCCACTGCTCCTTCCGTGTTCTATGCTGCCCTGACAGTCATGCTCTCTTCCCAGCTCGGTACACCAGATGCCGGCTTCCTCACAGTCTCCTTGGGCCGTGGTCAACTTCCTCCCGGCTCGCAGGATGTGGTAACCTCCTGTCTAACTCTTGTTCCCTGCATCGTGACCCATGTCCGCGGAATGGCGGTGGCTCAGCTTCTGCAGGCCGTTCATCAACACATGTCCGCCGCATCAGACCACGAGCGAGTTGACCTGAAGGCGCTTGAGGTGAGCTGGAAGGGCGATGGACCGCTCTTCAACGTTTTGGTGAATTATCGCAAGTTCTCCGAGGCTGCTGTCGACCCCCGGCCTGTGCGGCCACGATTCCAAGAACTGTGGTCTCGAGACTTGTGGGATTTTGACCTCATTCTGGGCGTCGAAGAACACGAGAATGATCTGGTTATCTCGCTACAGTGGTATGATGGCCGCCTACACCGTGACCAGGTAGAGTCCTGGCTGGAAACCTTGCGTAACAACCTGCATTTTCTCCTTGAGCATCTCCTTCGGAAAGAACAATAGACTTGTTAGATATAGATTCTGACCTCTAGATCAATACTATTTTTCCAACCTGGGGCCTGGTGCATAGTTCTTCCGTGGTCCGTAACCATCCATCCTGCGCCCTATTGGTTGCATGTGGGCAATTCATACTCCGCCTTCCCTATCACTAAAATACTCGGTCAAGCAAACGCAACGGGGTAACGGACTATATTTCATCAAGAGGACAGATTAACTAAGTGGTGATAATAATAATAATAATAATAATAATAATAATAATAATAATAATAATAATAATAATAATAATAATAATAATAATAATAATAATAATAGTAGTAGTAGTAGTAGTAGTAGTAGTAGTAGTAGTAGTAGTAGTAGTAGTAGTAGTAGTAGTAGTACGGAGTAGTACGGAGTAGTAGTAGTACGGAGTAGTAGTAGTAGTAATACGGAGTAGTAGTAGTAGTAATACGCGAGTCTGTTAGGCGATTACAAGGCTCAAAATATCTTCCGTCTTCCATCCCCTCAATCTCTGCCCCCCTCTCCATTCACAGGTTTACCAATCAACGCCGCTCTATTCCTCCGCATATAACCTGGCTCAACAAGGGACACTGGTGGAGGAGACTATTAGGTTGTCTCCAGTGAGGTCAGAAGGAAGATTTCGCGCCCGACTGCTGCTGATGCATTCACTCCCCCATGTGGCAGGCTGGTTCTGCTAGGGGATACCGGCTGCATCTTCGCGAAGGCGTCTAGAATCGTTTGTATAACATGAGTCCGTTCGGTTCTTGGGTTCTGGTGCTGCGTGTCCTATTGCCAAATTGCCTCGTGGGCCTGGTTCAGGTTGGTTCTTCTTCTGCTGTCTCTCGGGTCTGCCGGCTGCGTCCTTCCCTTGCTCCAAAGAGTATGCCACTGGGGCTCTGATGGGTCGATTCGACGTTCGCAGTGGCTGCGGTGCAGTCGGTTCCATTGATTGTTCGGTCGGCTCGGGTGTATACGGCGGCCCATAAGTGCCACCCCTGGAGGCATTTCGCCAAAGTAGGGAGGTCATTAAATGTTTCTGAGGATTAGCAGGCGAGCTGGTCGAATCGGTTCCGATCCGTGCCTACCGCCCACCCAAAGCGGGACGCTTTGGGTGCGCCCTAATTCCTGACCTTTCCGAATTCTTGACCTTTTTTCTACCAGTACTCTTCCTACTAGCTATTTCAACCACCAACGATGCCTAAATCTAGCGATTTTGATGATTCTCGCTTAGCCGAGGCCTGCAAAGTGGTTCTATCCCAGAAGAAGCCAAATATCACTGCAATTGCGCGTGAATTTCGCGTGGATCGCAAGACCTTGACCAGACGCGTCGAAAAGGCTAAATCGCTAATTACACCTACCAAATCGCTTAGGAAGGTCCTAGTGCCCTACCAGGAGGAAGCCTTGATTAGCTGGATAGTCAGGATGTATGGCTGGAACCTCCCACCTACTCCTGTGGTAGTAGCTGTATGGGCAAATCGCGCACTGGCGCGTTCGGGCCAGCCGGATAGGCAGGTTGGTAAAAACTGGCCGTATTACTTCATGAAGCGCCTACCAACGCATCTAGGCCTAGGCCCTATGAAGCAAAAGACTAAGGAACTGAAGCAAATCCAAGCGGAGGATGCAGGGCTTCTTCAACACTGGTACGACCTACTAGAAAACGTTCTCCATAACGTCCCTGCTCGGCTAGTATACAACTTCGATGAATGCGGCTTTCAACCAGGTCAAGGGCGACCACGAAACGTTATTGGGGCTAAATCATCTTGCCCTGATCTTGCCGAAACAGAGAGAGGCGAAAATATCACTGCTCTCGAGTGTATTACTGCGGACGGCTGGCAGATGGACCCTCTGTTTATTTTCAAAGGAACTGGCAAAAACCTTATAGAGGCCTAGTTCTACGGCAGCGAAACTCTCTCACCAGACACGTTGACGGCTATATCTCCCAATGGCTGGATTTCTGATGAATTAGCTCTAGCCTGGCTAGGCTATTTTATCCAATCGACTGCTCATCGTGTGAATCGGGATAAAAAGCGCGTCCTTATATTCGACGGCCACGGCGCGCATCTTACACTCGAATTTCTTCAAACCTACGAGGATAATGCAATTATCCCTTTTGCATTTCTACCGCATACAATACATCTTTGTCAACCACTTGACGGAAAACCCTTTCTGAATTATAAGCAGCAATTTCGGATGATGAATAATAAGCTAGCTTTCTGGGGTGGCCAGCCCTACGGGAAATCGGATTTCCTCTCGATTATCGGGCCAATTCGCAAGGAGGCCTTTTCGCAGCGGGTTATCCGCGATTCCTTTAGAGAGCGTGGGATCTATCCAGTTAAGGGTAGTAAGATTGTAGCAGATCTTACTAATCAGCTAGAGATCCCTGATCTATATGCACCAGATCTTCGATGGGCATCGCGTACACCATCACCACGACCTAATCTCTCGTCTTCTAGTGTTGAAAATAGCCCTCCGAAATCTATTGAAGCACTATCGAAGAATCAGGCTAAGATTACCAAACATCTCGACAAGCTTGATAGCAACTTAGGCAAATTGAAGCGAAATATTTGCAGGGTTTTAGAGCATCAAAAAGAGATGGCGGAGGAGCTAGATATGACGCAGGATTCGATTCAGCGTATACGGGAATGCCAGCAGCCAACACGTCGCCAATATACTAAGCGACAGGTTAAGCCGCTTAGCCAAACTGGTATATTAACCACACGCGATGCGAATCGGTCAATTGAGGCTAGGAAGAAGGAGGATTCGGCTAAGCAAGAAAGGAAGATAGTTAAGCTATACAAGAAGGTGCATGGCTGCGAACCCCCACAGCGGTCAGAGGAATCTATTCAGCGGGCAATTGCAAATGCGGAAGCGGCCAGATTAGCAGGAGAGCCTTTTTTTGTTGATAATTAGCCAGTTGGGTGGTAAATTTGACGATTTATCTACAAAAAGGTCAAGAATTCGGAAAGGTCAGGAATTAGGGCGCACCCAAACCGGGAACGGTTTGGGTGGGCGGTAGGCACGGATATGAGGTGGGGGCCAATCGTTGAAGTCAAGCCCCGGCTTATTTCGCAGGGGACTTGTTTGGGTCTTCCCGTGCGTGCCACTCGCCTGTGGGTTATATTAGTTAGTAAACTAATTTGTTACAGTAATTAAACTACTAAGCGATTTGAGCACACCTGTTGCTCATGCCTCCTAGTCCGCTTCCTTCCACAGCCGCCGTTCTACGGGAGGTGCCCGGATCCCAAGGCATGTCGAAGTCCACACAGCAATAATGATCATGAGATTTTCCTGGTGCCGGCAGCTCTCGCAGCGTTCTTGTGCTAGGGACTCTGATGTCCACGAGAGATCAATGATGTTGCCGGAGTAATGTGTGGACGAGGACAGATTGAACTTGACCGGCGCTTATTTTTTTTGGCCTTTCCGTCGTTAGCGTGAAAATACAAACAGCCAGTAATTTGCATTTGCATTTATGTTGCTTGAAATGAAAATGTTACAGGGGCACTAACAGGACTACCCCTGTCTCGTTCCAGTCAATCCATAACACATAAATGACTTCCTCAGTTCCAGAAAATCTCCCATGATGGCATCTGCCAACAGGACAGCTCCTCTGAGGAATCACCATGCCTTCAACCCCAGAAAATACAAGTATCCTCCGGCTTCAATGGATAGAGTGAGTTCCCACCCCCCACGGAGGCATTATCCTCCATATTCTGTCAGACAATCGCTCGTTCTAACCGGTTCAGATCACTAGTCGAACTTGTTTGTGACTCCAACAAGCAGACAGATCCCAGTCATTCATTCTTTGAAGTGATCGACATCCAAGTCCAGTTGACCTCCAAGGGTGAGAGTAACGATATACTGCGATCCAGAACTCCGGATCCAGCGTGAGTCCACGCCCGCTTTCCCGGTGCCTGCTTGGTTTACTGTCATGCTGACTGGTCCTGGTGCTTTTGGAGACAATCTGACGGTGTGATGACCTTTTTGTCCTTGCTCACTGCATATCGGGCCCAGTTCGGATGCGATGATGAAACTCCCCTGTTAAAGCTCATTGTTCCCCGGCGGACCGGATTCGCGGCCCGATCCAACGCTTTCCGAGACCGACTGTGGAATTTCCAATCCTGCTTGAGTTTCATCGATCGGACCGAGTTCAGCCAGCGATATGAAGCCCCGAAGGCTGATATGCCTCTCGCAGTTGTCCTGAATCTCAGCGTTTGCATGCTCCTTGTATGCCGCACCCGCGTCAAGCAGCAGAACTGTGATGTGGCCAGCCTCGGTCAAATGATCGCCAAAGAATTGCAATATCCTTGGCTGCTTGATCATGCTCCATTGCCCAAGACTTTGGTCATGTTCAATGGGAGGAAGAATACCGAAGCGGCCAAGCCCATCCTTGAGACTGCATACGACCTGGGCATCCGGCTTGTCATACTCGACCATCCCGGCCACTGGTTGATCAAGTCGCCGTACAACCATCTGTACCACGAGTTTATACCGATGGACATGAATTTCGACGACGATCTTCCGCACCGCATTGTCGCAGCAGTGCAAACTTGCCTTCCTGTCGACGGCCTCTTCACCGTGTCGGATCCGTGCTTGGTCGCCGTCGCGCAAGCCGCGTTGATCCTTGGTCTTCCCACCGAACCTCCAGCGGCGTTTGCAGCGAGTGTCGATAAGTCCCAAACGCGCGCGTTCAGTGCTGCTCCTGCTATCGAGGACGGGGACGATGGCTTCCAGTTTGCCTCCGCCGCCAGTCTGGCGGAACTGGACGGGTTGCTGACCTCGTCACAATTCATTCCTCGGTATCCGCTGATCGTCAAGCCCTCGACGGGATGGAGCTCGGAGAACGTGTTTAAGATCCATAACCGGACGGAATTGCTCCAGGCGGCTGCCGGTATTCCCTCTCGCCCCGCCAGTCCCAGAATCCTCGTGGAGACTTACGTGAATGGGCCCGAGGTTGACGCAAACTTTGTCCTCCTCGACGGCCGTGTGCTCTTCTTCGAGGCGTCGGATGACTTCCCGTGCGCTGCTGACGCCGTTGACGCCGGATTCAAAGCTGACTTCGGCGAACAAGCCAATCTCCTGCCCTCGACATTACCGCCACAGGAACTAAATAGCATTCACGACACCTTGCTCCACATCCTGCGGGCGGTCGGCTTCCGCACAGGAGTCTTCCACCTCGAGGCACGCGTCCGGGACTCTACGATGGCGTATACAACCACGGAAGATGGGGTCCTGGATCTGGATCGCAAGCGTGCAGGGTGTCTCGACGCCCCCAGATGTTTTTTGATCGAGATCAATGCACGGCCTCCCGGTTTTCAATCGCTCTACGCTACCCGAGTCGCCTACGGGATTGACTATGTGGCCCTGCATCTCCTGGCCGCCTTGGGCGATCATCCACGCATGCAGGCACTGTCGCATGCCACGCGACAGATGTCGCCGTTTCAGGAAGAGACCGCTACGGGCCAGTATCCACTGTGGTGCCAGATTTTGTTCATCGCCAGCCACGATCGCCAGGGAGGCATTTGTGAGACTCCCGACGCATGCGAGACGCTCCTGGAAGTGCACCCGCATTTAAGCTCACATGTCGTCATGGGAAAGTCCTTCTTCCGGTCGGGGGACTATGTTCCCCCGCTATCGGCGAATTCCCGGGTATTTCTGGCCTTTTTCTTAGTGGTCTCCAGAACGAGTCGCGTTGAGGTCTTGAAGGTGGGCGAGGAGATTCGCAAGTATTTCCGCCTGGATCTGCAGCGGCAAACTTAAGACCAGCAAATGATTCAGCCTAAAATATCAAAATCTCGGGGCCAAGCAATAAAAAAATGGTGAGTTGCAAAAGGCTTATTTCTATTTGGCCCGACCATTGGACGTTGTATATAATACATACGGTAAAGCTAGATCTCGTACAGAAAAATTTTCTCCCTTTCCATCATCGATATAGATTAAAGATAGCATTTAAATTATAGATTGTCGTCATGCAATTATAATAGCACCCAAGCTAAATAGTGTGAATCCAAAAGTGTATCATGACGCGGAGCAAGGGGATCTGTAGGTTAACATTCATAAGTGTCATAACCTCAGCCTGCAAGTCGTTGAGGTATCCGAGAATTAAAACGCGATTGCAAGTGCTACGTCTGACGGTCCGGTTATCATATATCGCGAAGTGGTTGTGTCTGCACGTTGACTGGCCTCCTTACTGCAATATGTGCGGATTATCCCAGGGCATCCAGTTTGCGGTACGAAGGCGGCTGAGTGGGAGATCAATGAGCAATTAGCGGAGGTGAGTGTGTGATTTGGTTCATGGGCGCAGTCGGGGTCACCGGTGCTGCAGCAGTGCTGGCGCACCTGGCGATTCGAAGTTTTGACGATTTCATTAAAAAATTGACGGGGATTGTGGATTGACGGGGATTGTGGGCGCACCCATACGCGGAGCGGTATGGGTGGGCAGTAAGCACGGATAAGTCGTGATTGATGAGGGGCAACCAACTCGGTTGATTGTTGAAAAGCCACCTTTCCACATTTTTAGGCGGTCGAGACGGGTTTGGCGGTGAAGACTACTGCCGGTAGGTGTGGAGGAAATGCGAGAGCCCGTTGACTCGTGGCCTCTCCAGCACCACGACGAGTACCAAAACCCCCTTCGAAGACCGTGAAATAATTCAATTGTCCCACTTGATCCTAAATCTTTTGCAATGGCCCCTCCGGAAACTTTCCAGAATCCAGGCCCTATATCCATCACTCCTATTCTTCAACGTCTTGCATACCCCGCGGCAGCCGATATTCAGGTCAGCGCAGAGGACATTGCTTCTGCATTTGCTCTCATTTTTGAGAACAGGCTATCAGAAATCCAAATGGCGGGTTTTTTGACTCTGCTGCACTCGACGGGCAAAGATAAGGAAGCTGGTGTCATTGCGAAATGCGCTCTGCGTATGCGAGAGACTGCTTGCCAGATTGAGAAAGCGCCGTTGGAAAAAGCGATCAAAACTCGTGGCCGACATGAAGGGAACTATAATGGTGGATTGGTATGCGCTTTTGCTGATTTAGGGCCTCGATTGACCTTGAATACTGATTTGTCTTCTCTTTGATAGTGCGATATCGTCGGAACCGGAGGAGATTCGCATTCGACCTTTAATATCTCTACGACATCCTCAATCCTTGCATCGCCTCTTTTAATGAGCGCTAAACATGGGAATCGAGCGCAAACTTCATTCTCTGGAGCTGCAGATATTCTTAATGCGGTTCAACCTGTACCTCCTAAGATCTCTGCTATCAATGCAAGTAATGTGGCCAAGGTGTACGAAGAGACCAATTATGCTTTTTTATTTGCTCCTAACTTCCATCCTGGGATGATATACGCCAATCCCGTGCGTCGCGGCCTTGGTCTGCGCACTATCTTCAACCTGATGGGTCCTCTAGCAAACCCCGTGGAATGGGCACTAGAGGCGCGAGTTGTTGGCGTGGCCTATCAGAGCCTAGGTCCAGCCTTTATTGAGGCCCTTCGACAAAGCGGAGCTAGGAAGGCTCTGGTTGTCTGTGGCGAGGAAGATATGGATGAGATTAGCTGCGCGGGCAAGACAAACTGCTGGAGACTCTCTGAGTATCCGAACCCTGCCTTTAATAATTTGCTAGAGGACTGTTCAGGTCACGATGGAGAGCAGACGCCTCGTACTCTGGTCAAACTTGATACCTTCCAGCTTCACCCCTCTGACTTCGGCCTGCCTACATACCCTCTGACCGCCGTGTACGGCCGCAAGATGCCTAAGGACAATGCCGCGATGCTTATGAGTATTCTCCGAAACGAGCTTCCGCGCGATGATCCAACCTTGGCATTTGTCCTGATTAATGTGGCTGCTCTGTTGGTCACTTCGGGCATCTGTGAAGCTGACAGCAGCAACATGGGTCCTGGAGATGACGGTAAAGTCATTACTGAGCGTGGTCCTGGCGGCGGTCGTTGGAAAGAAGGTGTCCGCCGAGCACGCTGGGCAGTTGAGAGCGGTGAAGCTCTCAAGTGCTTCCAGAAGTTCATTGAGGTTACCAACAAACTTGAATGAACTAACGCTGTTGTATATACGATGACCTGTATGTCTCTCTTGCTAGATAAATCCGCAGTGAAGTCCTAATCTCAAAATTAGAGTATTAAAGTATACCCTAAAGAATACCCTGAAACGGAGGAATGGAGTGAGGTACCAGTGCATACGGAGAGAGAGCTCACAACTCCTGCTATAAATGTCACCAGTCCCGATCTGCCGCCCGTTCCCCTCCATGATGGTCAGCCTGAATCCACAGTAGAGAACAGTGATGAGGGAACACCGGTTTCCCGGTATGTTATCAGAAAGCCCTCCAGTCACACCTCTTCCGCCGATGATTCCATGCCTGCAGTAGCGGTGTCGCCTCAACCACATCAAGGGCCGGTTGAGATTCATCTCTAGGCATTTGAACGAGAACAGTGGAGGCAGTCAGATCGTCTCCTCGTAAACCTGTCAGATCCATCGCCGCTAGAGCGACTTGCGCGAAAGTATTCATGGAAAGGCTATTCACTGTATGATTTACGTCTTCAAAGTCTCAGACCGGCTCAATGTTTCCGTGCGGCCACCACGGACGGCAGGAATGCCATCTTCATGATTTCTGAGCATGAAGAGCAGGCACTTATCGCGGCAGGGCGACTAACTAAGGAGAGGCAACTGCTCGCAATGGCTTCCCGAGCGCTGGATAGGGTAGAAGAGGAAACCTTTTCAATCACGCCGGGTCGTTTTGGGAGGCCGAGACAATCATGATGACCATTTCAAGTAGATATAGGTCCCTGAGAACCCTCTCTTGAGACAGATACCATCCCAAGAATTTTAGTGACACAAGCCAATCTTCTCGGTAGGAGATCTGACATAATAGGGGATTCCTGGAACCTCAAGCCGTTCTTAGAGGTCAACAGCGGATCTCCGGGTGATTGAAGTACTTCTGGGATCGCCTAGGGTGTACCTGAGATTGATGTTAAGGATACAGTACACGGAGTACATGAGCTTACACGGCGCTAGCTCTACACGGCTCCAAGAACGTGTAAGTCGACTCTAGGAGCTTTTTTGCTCCTGGAACCTCGAGTACAGTTCCCAGGCGCAGCCAAATACCCTCCGGGAAGGGCTTTGCGGGCGACGAGCTCCTACCTCTACGTGGTGCCCGCTGGGAACTTTTCCACGACGCGCCGACGCGCCGAAAATCGAGTCTCCGAACCTCACGAAACACCAAACATCACAGCCCTAGTACAGAGACGAAGTCGTGCCCCCTCACACGTACGCCCCCACGACGGATAAGGGACCTTGCCACTCCATTGATCCCGCCCGACAATCGTTTACGGTGCCGGATCTCGAAGATTACGCGATGCAGACGTGATGCAGAAGGCCGGACATGATCAACACAACACAGTCAGAACAATTGCAAGAACCTACGCCCAAGAACGATAACCAAACTCTCTGCTCTGATGCTGCAACCCGTCAAAGTCAACCTCTACCCTCACGAAACACCAATATACAGAACCAGGACCTAAGAGGAAGTCGTGCCTCGTTACACGTCCCCCCCAACGACGGAGAACGGAACTTGTCACTACATTTGTCCTGCCCGACAACGGTTTACGGCTTGGAGACTGACGATGACACGCTGGGCTCGGGGCAGAGACGTAGGTATAGTTCATGGGCTCAGCATACGGATATCGCAATATAACGACACCAACAACACCACCCACAGCTCAGAACGTCAATTCGAGATTTGTCGGTATTTTGTTTGATCTGACCATGTCCTTCCACAAGTCCATTGGTCGCAACCCTATGCGAAGAGTGGCCACAGAAAGCTTGTGAGGTGGCTTATACTCAACAGATGTGAGGAGAGTGGTAGTGATGTGTTGGCGTTTTCACGTTTCAACTCTCCTCCTAAATATATTCGAATTTCTTACCCATATTCTTCATTGCCCCAATTTTCGCGAAAACGATCCTTTAGTCCACGTTAGGTAAGACGCCAGCTAAATGTCCTCGAATACCTTATGCTTGCCCACGATGTACGTCCGTTGACATTTCCACAGTGCCAATAAAGTGCGCTCTAAAGCGTATTCTAAACCGAGATATGTCATCTCTGGTAATAACTCCTGTGAGCAAGCTCACCCGTGCTTGAGCTTCACTTTGTGCCCGAGGATCCAGTCAAGGCACGGTTTTGCTTGTTCGCAGGAGCTACTACCACGGCTCCCGGAGGGTCCGTCCCCCCCAAAAGGAATAAATAGCTCGATTCTGGGATGACGCTCGTGTCCAATAGCGAGGAATAGCTGCACATGAGCTACGAAATTATACAAGAAGGAGCAGATGGTGGCTTATGGAAGAAAACCATCCTTGGGTGACGCATCAAGAGAAACAATGCCTTGCATTTCAGAAGCTCTTTGCATCAAAAACTTCAGGGGACAAGACGGGAGGCCTTAGGCCCTGACCTTCCCTAGAGCGCGGGTCTGTCAATTCAGTGTCAAAGTTTGTTACGAGGTGCAAGGTGCCAGGTGAATGTCGATTAACCTCATTTTTCTCCCTCCTGCATATTATGTGTTCATCCACTCTTCCTGATCATCAAAAGATGCTTCATGGTAGGGGTGTCTACCAAGCCAATCGTCTGGGTTAAAAACACGTCTATAGTGGAGATAAAACTGAGTCAACATTTTGTTCAGGCCTTGGCCTGTTAGCAATTCTATCTCTTATAGGGGCTTTGTTGAACATACTACCCAGTGTCATAGGATGCGCAGGCTGAAGGGAGAAACGAGAAGTGCGCTCGCGGAAAAGAATCAATGACTTTGGGATAGTGGTTCCTTGGGTAGAAATAAATTAGCTTCGCATATTACGACAAGAGGTTTTAATCACCTTTAGGTATGCACAAATAATGAGGTTCGGCAGTGTGTTGACCACTTTCCACGTTATCTAAGTAGTTATCAAACGACCTTCGTGTGATCTCTTGCATAAAGTGCGTGTTCGGCATAAATAATGCGCCGTTAGAAACTGAAAAAGTTAGCAGGCGAAAAATGTGAATTTGCTTTCGCGTACAATCAGCTGTAATATTCGGATGTACCAAGCCGTCTGCAGAGATTTCAACTCCGTCCTCATACTCCCAGTCATCTTGTTCAACGGCTCTGTCGTACAGCTTTGAGTCGCGGTGTATCTGAAATCGATATAGGCTAGCTGGAAAAGTTTGGTGCGTTGACACGTATGAGAAAGCACGACGATTCGGGAAACGTAGGATGCCACGCGCAGGGCCTTGCGCGCGACGAAGAAAACTGTGGAACATCGCCGTGTTAATGGTCTTGGATCGGGAGACCCGAGGCCTCTAATGGAGATGATCCTTTGATTAAAAGCGAAGTGAAGCAAAGGCAGAGATTTCTCAGGTGCATTTGATGACAAATAAATCACATGATAACTAACTAAGAGGCTACCTTACCCTCAGACCACGCTTGGTGTATTCGTTGGAGTAGGAGGTGCATGGCATGCTCCGTCGATGTGAGTTTACGGCCCCCCGTATGTCGACTTGGGAGAAGGTGGTGCACATCTGCTAAATAGGAAAGTCGGTTTGCGATGATGGCTTCCGTCACCTTTCCTAGGGTATTCAGCAGTGCAATTGGTCTATATGCCTTCGGTTGCGTGTAATCGTCTTTCCCTGGTTTCCGGAGTACTACCGTGATCGAGTCCTTGAAGTGTGTAGGACAGTAGCCATGTTGAAGACAAGCGTTGAAAAGCGTATAGAGACTCGGAAGAAGGATGTCAAGCGTCTGGTGCAAGATTCCGTTGACGATTCCGTCAGTGCCGGGAGCTTTGTTCGGAGACGTCCTGCGCACTGTTTTCTCGATCTCTAGAATAGTAATATCCGGGCATTCGATTGGTGGCGGATACGTATATCCTTTAATGTCCGAAAGGTCGGCTTGGAGCGGGGGTGGGAAAAAGGTTTGGCGTAGTGTCTCGGCCTTTTCTTCTGGCTCCTGTGCGAGTCCTCCGTCCTGTTTCACCAGTGCTAGCGTGCAGGCTGCCGATATGTTGTATCGGTTTTTGGCCCACTTAACCAGACTCCAGAGACCAGATAGTGACGCCGATGCCTCCTCTACTCTTTAGCGATGATGATTTCGAAGGGTCTTCTAGACGAGCCGACCCTTCCTATTGCAGGCTTGACGGTATGCCGCGTAGTCATCATCCTGTCTTGTACGTTGCCACCGTCGACGGAGCTGCTGGGCTTCTGTACAGAGCTGCTTACACTCTTGGTTGAACCCAGGGATTGAGCGAGGGGATGGGCTAGACCACGGGGTAGATGCCTTAATACCAGCATTCAGGGCCTGAACGAGGGTCGATACAACCTCGTCGATACCCTCTATTCCATTGAGTTCCGTGGCATCATTCGCTCTAGCGAGGTGCTCCTGAGTCACTTGTCGCAGGATTGGTAGGTTTGTCTTGGATCATAGGCGCTTTCTCTTTGGCTCTACAGGTTGCCAGCCCCATTTGATGGCCAGCGCAATCGGCAGGTGGTTAGAGTCGATGGATGTTGACGTTCCCAGAGACAAATTTTGCACTCCTAGGCAACCTAACCCGCAATCCTGAGAGCTTCAAACCCCTTCTAGAGACATGGAAACCCCCTCCTGGGAGCTATATTGATTCTGAAACTCTAGTTAAAATTCCTAGAGCAGCTGCTAGTCATCCTAGGGTAGACGGAATGTGATTGGTTGATTCAGTGATTACCTCTAGAACTACTCCGTAATCTCATGCAAATAGCCTGGAGTCTTCCGAAATGAAGCTTATTAGACCCATACAAAAGGTATGATCCCATCGCAGGCGTAGTTGATTAAGCAATATTAGGAAAAGCTACAGTGGACTCTAGATACAAGACGTAGCGCGAGGAAGCAAAAGCGAGGTGGCTTTCCGCGTTCAGGGAAACCCAGATGCGCCAGGTGGGTCCATCTCCTCTACTTACCGCGTATGATTCAGGTATATCCCTGAAAACAGGCATAGTTACTCCCAGGAAGGGATTTGTTGGGCTGGAAACTCGAAGAATTAACCGCCGGGACGTAGATAGACGACCACTAGAGACTCACGTCTGGTGCGGTCGCCAGCTGGCGGTCCTGTGGTCGGGCTGGTCGTACGACCAGCGTCTGTGTTGAATATCACGGTGGTCGGCGGCTAAGTGGGTTTAGGGTCAAAGATATAAAGACGGGTTACCCCTCCTCTGTAAATAAGTCAAGCACAACCAATCTTACTATCACCCATCTTAATAGTCTGATGACCATATCTGTTGAATATCACTGTTGAATATCACGGTGGTCGGCGGCTAAGTGGGTTTAGGGTCAAAGATATAAAGACGGGTTACCCCTCCTCTGTAAATAAGTTAAGAACAACCAATCTTACTATCACCCATCTTAACAACAGCCTTCAAGCCGTCAACTGGCGGCCACCCTGGCTTAGTAACCGTAAGGGCCCCAAGTCCTCTGACTATAGTCTTATGTTGTAGGACCTGCGGCCCTAGGTAGACAACAGCCTTATCCTGGAGACGCGTTCTGACCCGAACCATAGGTTGAAGGCGGTGACGTCTTGTGGTCATACTGTAGAAGTCATCGAAACCTATTGGGCCAAGGTTAAGCATGTTCTTTTTTTTCTGAAGGTCACTATGATTTGGACCGGAGGCGTGGGGGATTCAAAGAACAATGTCCAAGGGGCGGGGATATGGTTCTGAACCGCCAAAGTCATGACGGGAACGTGTTTGCGTGAAACTAGCCCGCCACCAATAAAAGGCCGGTATACTAAGCGGTATAGCTATTTCAGGAAGGCGGTAGTGGAATGGTGTCCCAACTTTGCTGTCCTCTGTATGTCCTCTCTTGAATCCTGCGGGCCCATAACAAGGTTCTCGGAAGGTAGGGCCGTCTGTGATGGAAGTCTTGATACGGCTGCCGTCTTGTGCACATCGCTGATCTAAGCAGTTCCTCTCAAGAGGAAATAAGTCTTGAGACCGCATATCCGAGAATGGATCGTTCTTAAGAATGCCTTCACATAACCGCCTTCTCAAGAGCCCAAGTCTCTTAAGAGCTATGTCTCATAAGTCTCCTCTTGAGAAGATATCATTTATGAGAATCCCCTCTTATGTCAGAGCTCCTCCTGAGAAGATTGGCTTGTATTATTAGAGTTCTTGGGATGGTAAACGGTTCAAGAAACGCTTCTCTGATAGCCCTGGCCACTGAGAAGTCTGTCACATATCCACGTAGCACTCAAAACGTGATTCATATTCAAGCTCGCTGTAAAGGTATCATCCTGGGTCACCTGATTCCCTACGTGGGCCAAAAAGACCACTATATCCGCGATCAGCGGATATGATCCAGGACCTAATATATATAGTATCGCAAACTTGTCAGGCTAAACCATGACACTCACCGTCGGGGCCTACAACCCTAGCCATTTGTTCTTATTTCTGGAGGCCTTTTATTACACTCAGAGAAGGGAGTAGAGCTCCTCGAGTCCACAGTTGCTGGACCACCCGGTCTTGCTGGACCCCCCTTCCACACGGAGCCCTTCCACGTACGGAATGGGGCTGCGTGTGGAAGAGGGCTTCGTACGGAAGAAGGCTGCGTGTGGAAGAAGGCTGCGTGTGGAAGAGGGCTGCGTGTGGAAGAAGGCTGCGTGTGGAAGGGGGGTCCAGCAAGACCGGGGGTCCAGCAAGACCGGGGAGTCCAGCAAGACCGGGGGGTCCAGCAAGACCGGGTGGTCCAGCAAGACTGGGGGGTCCAGCAAGACCAGGAACGCGAGCCTTCATAAGGCATAATTCTATTACACAAAACTTAAGTGTGCAAAGGGAATTTTCATCTTTTGAGCAGACGAAAGACCACGATTTCCCTCCAAATGGAAAATCGTGGTCTTTCGCGCGTTGAGTTCTAGGTGGGCGCTAAGACGGCGCGTACCTGTTGTGGCTCCTCTACGTGATAATAACCTTCAGATGTCCAGCCAAACTAAAAGCAGGTTAGTGAAGAAAGAAACGCGGGACAAAAGGCTTCCGTGCTTATATTCGAATTATTAACTATAGGAAGGATCTATACCTATTAAAACGTTCTAGCTTACAACTGAATACAAAAAATAGAAATAAAAAAAAATTCAAGACCAAGATTCACCGAGCTCGTAATCGCTTTGATCGACGAGGCGTAGGCTTGATAGTAGACGCTTCTATTCTATCTGGTTGCCCTTTCCCCTTCTACTCCCCACCAGACTACTCTTCTAGGCGCCCGCGTTTTAGAGATAAGCGTATCGTATACTATAATTAAAGCTAAGCACTAGGTTCTAGATTTACCGCCTTTACCGCTCCTCTTGTTACTCGCCGTATAGAATTCTCCGTTAAGTTTAAATCGGTGGTAGTTAACGAATAGCTAGCAGAGGACGGGAAAATTTTAGTACTTAGCGGGTAGGTTAATAGCCCTATAACTATAATAGAACTAGGCGCTATCAACCGAGGGCTAATCTTTACTATATCAAAATCGAGAGAGGAAGCGGGAGTTTCGGTACCCTACTAAGTCTCCGGCTCCGTAGACTTATTTCTAGAGGAATCGTCGCTATAGTTAAACTATAGTATCCTTAGTAGGTAATATAGTTTAATCTTAATATCGTATATATACTTATTACTAGCGTAGACTAGAAATTCAGTAATACTAGTAAATCTAGGAAGATTACGGTAAGCCTTCTAGGTATAGCTAATTCCGTCGTAGATATAGCGTAGATAAAAGTCGATAAGATAGCGACGAAGAGAATCTAGACGTTTAGAAGGAAATCTATACAGAGATAGGTTCGACGCCGAGAGACGGGATATACTATAGTAAATAATATAGATATCCGTTAGGTATTTTATATTATCTTCTTTAGGAGATAAGGGATCCTCTAGCTAGTCTAATATATTATTATTCTTATCGTTAAATTTCTAATTAATACGATTACCTTACCTACTAGGCTTATAGAGACTTAGGAGAGTAACTATATCCTTAGTTACCTAGATATAACGCGCGAGTAGCTTATCTTCGTTATAATTCTCTGCTTTAGATCTATAAAAGTTCTTAACGAGGCGAGCGCGTTTAGGAAAAATATACGTTAGGGTAGGTAACTCCTAGTCCTTATTATTAGAACTATCTATATTATATAATTCGGTAAAAGGATCGCTAAGAAGCTATTTAATCTATCGGTCGACTTCGAGTATAGGTATATTACAGAAATAATCCTTTCTAGCTATCTCTTAGGTATTAGTCGCTAAAGTCTTACGAAGCTTAGTTATCTCTCTATCGATAACTTTATACTATTAATAAAGATATAGAAAGGGCTTTTCGGTATTCTTTACTATACTAGCTAGAGATCGTATCTCCGCTATAAGCTCTCTCTTCTTATATTTTAACTTAAGTATTTCCGGATATTAGTAAATAGTATACTTATAGGTATCGGTAAGCTTAGATAGTACTAATAGGTCCCTCTTCCTAAATATACTACTAGTAACGCGTAATAAACCCTCCTAAGATAGTCGAAGGAGAACGATATATTAGAGATCGTATCTAATAAACTATAACTAGTAGTATTTTTCGAAAACTACGTTATCTAACTAACCTAGTACCCTTTACTACTTCTAGCTAGTAAAATTCCCTATCCGCTCCTAGTTAGATCTAATATAATAAGACTACCGTAGATATAGTAATAAAGTTATTAAAGACTATATATAGGAGTAACTTACGATTAACTTTATTTACAGTCTAATAGCGAAAGTTATAATATCTAATATTATCTTCGAATTAAGTATCTCGATCTAACTCTTTAAGTACTCGTCGACTTAACTTATAAGTTATCGGTAACGACGGATAAAGCTTATAGCTATACGTTATACGCTTAGAATACCGAAGAAGGGGCGTATTAAGAATCTCGGGCTTCTAGCGGAGTAGTAAGAAGGAACTACGTTTTAGAATATATAACCGCTAAATAAGCTCTAGTATAAGATCGGTATTAATAAACGCTCTATCTCGAAAGACGAAAGAAATAACTTAGGTAATCGGATAATATACTAATTAATAGTCGCTATATATAAAAAATTTAGTTCTACTAGTAACTATTAGTATTACTCTAGTATTTACGATTATAATCACGCTTATCTATTAGCGCCTTCTAGCTAACCTTTTAGGTTACGAAATTCTATAACTATATAGAGAACGTTATATTTACTCTAAGGATTATAAAGATAGAAGAGTTTAATATCACGATAGTAGACTAAGTTAGAAAGATCTATAATAGGGATATATTTCGGAAGATTACTCTAAAAAGTAGGGTTTTATTTACGCTTACCTAGGAAGGAATTATTAGATAGAGAGGTATTCTATAGAAGTAAGATACCGGGTCGGGTCCTAGTAATAGCGGACTAGAGTTAAATAGTAGTAAATTAGACGATTATACTTCCGTAACGAAAAAACCGTGAATAGACCTAGTAATACCGATAGATTATATAAAAGATATCTATATCTAGAGTATTCTTATCCTTTATTCGTCTAGAAATTTTACGCTTAGCCGGAAATATACTATTAAGAAACTATACTCTAGTTAGCCTAGTCTCCTTTAGAACAGAAGAAGTAACTATATACGTCGTATCTACGTATAAATATCGTTATTAATACCGCGATAGGCGAATAGTTAGAAGTATTAATAAAGACGGCGCTAGTATTCGTCGTATAATTAAAATACTTTCTCTCGTGATATTTTGAATATCTAGTCGAAAAAGGTTATATAAATAGCTTTATCTTCTAGTAGAAGATAGTTTACGTAGTCCTAGTTCGATTAAATACAAAATCTATTTCTGTGTTATTCCCTAACTATAAGATTTATTTTATTAGGGCTAACTTACTTCCGCTAGTACCGTTCGACCGTAGCGATTCTATCGGCTAAAAAGCGGGTTATATTCTATTAGGCTAAAAAGATATACTAGTATAGTCTTTAAGACTTTATTTAGATATATAATAGATCGGATAAATTAGGTTATTTAGGGGCCGATATACCCCCTACTATATACTAATAGATTCCTATTAGCGTTCTTAGCTTAAAGTTTAGAGGAAGCTATCTAAGGCTCCGGAAATATTTTAGTCTAGCTCGAGTTTCCTCGCAAAGGATAGGATTAGTCTAGTATTAGTAGTCATCGACTTAAGCTAGGGGTATAGAAATAGGCGCTATAAGGAGAATTCGGAGATAAAGGCTAAGGTTTAGATTCTATAATAGAAGACTTAGGAGTTAAGTATATCGAGGCCGATTAAGGTAGCGGAGATAGGATAAGAAGGTTATTAAAAGACCCTCGAGGGAGATAGCAGACGAAGTATCTTATAGCCGCTCGACTAGGCTAGACAAAAAGGAGGGGGCCTTTAGTTTAGAGGTAGAAGGGAGCTATTTTCGGCGTCGTTTAGTCGCTAGTAGAAACGGGGGGAATAATCGTTAAAGTCAAGTACTAATAATAGGACGAGAGATAGATAACTAATAGTACTAGTTAGGTACAGAATAGCGGGCAGTATAAGGTACTAGGCGGTTAAGTAGCGGCTCGCTATCCAAAGTTATAGGTGGAAAGGCGGCCGTTTCTGGCGCTAGAGGTTATCATTTTCGGCGTCGATTTCATAGGTCCCTATATTCTATCTGTAATATACCTAATAATTACCCTCACCTTGTCTATCGTGGATAGGAAATCTAGAGGGGTTTAACGTTTAATCGTACTTAAGATAAGACGACTATACGGTATCGGGTTAATTTCAGGCGCCTAGGTATATATAGAATATTTAGTATAGAATATATTTAGTTCCAGATCATGATATTACCGCTTATCTTCCTATAGCGTATAGCTTACCCGTACTCTACCTTCCTATTAGATTATTATATTATAGAGTAAAGCTACTCTCCGAATGATTTACTAGGAAAGACCCCCTATACTCTTATACGACCCCGGCGATAGTCGATCAGACGGTATCCTATAAAAAGCTCGACCTTCGTTTAGCGTAATTATAGTATAATATATCGATATATACGATAGACCGGTAAAGAGGTATATTCGGTATATCTAATAAGCGAACTACTAGCGGTAACTATAGGGTACTATATCGCTAGGGAGGGCTATACTAAAGGGTTAGCGTTTTTCCTTAGATAATTAATAACTACTTACCTACTTAATCGTAAAGAAGCGCCGTCTTACTATTCGTATAATTATTATTATAAAGGATAATATAATAGTCTAGGCCGTTCAGGCCGAGTATACGAAAAGATTCCGTCTTATTATCTTCCTAACTAACTAGAATACCCGCGGGGTATAGCTTTAACTTAATACTATACAGCAGATATCGTAGTCGCTATCTAATCTAGCGTATAAATTTTATTTCTGCTAGTCGGGCCGTCGGATATACTTTAAATATAGATACGATCGATCGAACTAAGAGCTCTTCTACTATATAGTAATAGAAAAAGGGGGCGTTCGGGTCGGCGAGGGTACTCGGCGACTAGGGCCGGCAGAATAACCGGTAGTATATATAAGCAAAGTCTAACTATCGGTAATATATCTTAAGCGTACTCTGTCCTTTATTAAAGTATACGTCGACTTTACCGGCCGAGCCTCGGACATAGACTACCTAAATATAGTTAGTAAACCTCAGCAGAGCGAAGTAGGCTCGTAATATATAGTCGACTATTCTTACGAATATTATATCTAGGCCGATATAGGGCTTTATATCTTTAAACAGAACTTACTACTCCTCTTCGACGGTTCGGATAGGGTAGTAGATACGTAGTATATACTATAGTATATCGGGTAGGCGTACTAGGCGCTTACCGAGGCTATCCCGGATTATCTTTATAGTCTATCTATATTAGTTATTAAAATATAATACTATTTATCCCTAAGTATATACCTAATTATTATATCTCTTACTATAAAAGAATTCCTTCTCTGCTAACTTACGTAGTAAGTTTTACTAGATCTAATATACTACTAGTAGCTCTTAAAGAGGGCCTATTATCTCGGCGTCGGCAGAACGGGTATACTTCCGTAATAGGTCGATAAGTAGAGGTAAGATAGTATCTTTCTACTTACGTAGAGCTTCCTCCTATATCTATTATACTTAGCGAGCCGTATCCCGCTAGGATACGAGTCTGTAACGGTAGCGGTAGGCGGTCGAATAGGCGAAATTATACGCAAAGAGGTATACGCTACCTACGGTAGAATTAGTTAAGGTAATCCTATTATAATATAGCTAACCTCGAAGCTAGGGATCAAGAATCAAGTCGCTATATAGTATAGAATTAATACCGGAAGGGTAGGTAAGTCCGCGGATATCCTTATTAACCAGAGCTAATTCAAAAACGCGTCCGGCGCGACTAGTCGGCCTAACTTAGCCCGCGTCGCGCCGATCACCGCTACTATATCTCTCTCTATATAGGACCGAAGGTTTGCCATATAGAGAGCAGGATCGGCCTATTAGATCGACGTGGTTTTCTGAGATAGCGCTAAGGACAAGAAATCGAAGTATAGTCTATATACATATCAAATCTCCAATTGTAACTACTCGCGGCGATACTCACCTAGAAGCCATCTCGAGAAGGAACCAACGCCGCCAGCTTGACTAATACCCTCGCCGTAACGTCCTACAAGATGGTCTTAGGCGTCTTTAGTTAAGAATCCTAGACCAAGAGCATTAATCGGGGAGTCGTATGTAAGTATTTACGATGGTGATTCGACCGGTCCTTTTTCGAGCTGGATAAAACCTAGGGCGCGTCGATTGTTACTTTCCGCTGGCCGGTCGGCAAGGTTACGGTCGGGAACAGTAAATGAAAGACCACTACTGTGGTCTTCCAAGATTGGCTAGAAGCTCTGACGGTCAAGCTCGAATCTTCTATGAGAGCATCTTTCCTACGTAAATCAGCGCTTGTCCAGCAAAGGAGGTTGATATATACTAATTCTGATACAATTCTCGAAATGTATTCGCTTGTGTCCAATCTTTCACGTAGCCGGAAAGGTTTCGAGAAACCACGCGCCGGGAGGATAGGTATATAATGAGGGGGGTTTTCCGAGTAGCTCACGTTCTAGCTGCTCGTTCTCTAGGACTATGATGCTATTATCCTCGTAAGCGTCGGCGTTGTAATGGTGTGTTATTCTTGAAAATCAAGCTTGCGGATCGGGTGTGAATTGGGATTGAGAAGAATGCTAACCGGGGTAGGATGACACTATTTATGTTGTGGCTTCCTTCCGTATTGAAATTATATATCTACTAGAAATGTTGAGGAACAGTGCTCTCTCTATCAAAAAGAGGCAGTTTAAGGATGAGAAGCGCTTGGCTTACTAACTTGAGACTTGGATGCCAGGATTAACCAGCGAACGCTTTCGACTTGTCTGCTATGAAATTGATGCTCAACGTTGACGCCGGGTCTCGCCTGTTGTAGGCGCTGCCGTAGGCATTAGTAACAGCGTTAAGCCAATACTTTCCTGGTGTCCAGTCAACATAGAGTCAACATGCTTATAAGCTATTTAGTTAGTATACTCTGTGACACCGCACTAACTAGTGACTTAACCGAGCCTACAGACATACGTTCGTACAGGCGATTTCAGTCTAGGAGAGGAAAAATTGCTCAGCGGTCTATGGTATGGCAACCAAGAAGAGCGTTCTGGCTCCGCTTAGTTTAACCTACATCCTATCTACGTATAAAGTTGATAGACTAACTACCATTCTCACTCAACCTGAAGCACAACACAGACTATTTACTAGTAATATATAGGCCTAACATGGATACTGGGCCAAGGCACATAGACACCAAAAAAAATTATCCGGCTTTTTCCAGCCGTTCTTAACCTGAAATTAGCCCCAGGAACCCAATACTGCTTCCAGGAGCATAGTGAATTATCGCGAAGAATAATCCTGTTGGGCTATAGGAACGCATCGGAGACCAGGATTAGTCACGCAGACTCCAGGGAGCCTCACCTACCCTAGGAACATCTAGTCTATTCCCTCCTGTTACCAAATTAAGGGTTGCTCCGTGGCAAATAAGTTTTATAAATAATTTCCGACCCTTCATAGATTTAGCTTCGGTATAGAAAGGCGCCCTGAATATTTATTTACTCTTGAGGATTTTCTACCGAATAAGTTACAGCTGGTTACCTAGCATGAATAGCTTGCTCTAAATTGATACTATATTAGCAGGTATTGTGAAATTCAATTCACCCAAGCTTCCTTGTTTTTTAGCTAGCACCGGTAAAATGTTGGAATTAAGGGCAATCAAAATATGTGGTATAGTCGGAAATCCCAACGCCGGGATATCCACGTTGGCTAAAGCATGTGGAACCGTTCAACATCAACACATCAACACCTTCAACACCTTCAACACCTTCAACACCTTCAACACCTTCAACACCTTCAACACCTTCAACACCTTCAACACCTTCAACACCTTCAGTACCAGTATCAACACATGACCAATATTTCCCCTTATTCATAATTGCGTGTGAAATTATTTTCGACTCCAGTAGTCGGGTTTTTCACCTACTACTGTAAACGGAGACTGTTCACCCAGTTCACTTGACAAACCGGAAAAAAGTCATTCCTGCAGGCTACTTTATCGTTTTCTTCACGTAGTCCGATGGATCAGAGTGGTAAATGGGATGATAATGGCTGTATGCAATACGAGAGGTAAGTAGTATACCAAGTATAGTTCAAATTAATATAGAGTAACTTCAGGCACTTGTCATTACAACATGACCATTGAGGATAGTAAAATTACGTGAATTGACCTAATTGGTGCGATATAAAAGAATACCAGAGCCCCAAGTATTTCATAGCAAATGCTGGTGGCATTATGCCATGCTTTAGATGGTTGGCCCTTGGGCTATTGCACAAGACCGCCTCACTATCGGCATGAGACGGAAGTACATCGTGTTATCTCGTTGGGCTGTATTCTGGTTGAATAAAACTAGATACATTACCACGTAGGCTTTATGATGAAATCCTATGCTGAATAGTCTTCAAAGACTTTGAAATGCCATAGATTTTTCCATCACCCAAAGCAAGATTCAATCACTTACGCTGTTGGTCGTATTAAATAAGCCGTCTTTGCTCACAGACCCAGTGCACATAGTTCCAGAGCTTGGAAAATGATCGATTCTCTCGTCCATCGCGACTCGGTGAATATGGTTCATGAGCTGCAAAAAGAATAAGCTTTGAACCTAAGAAAAAGTGGAGATCTTCTCATACCATATGACGATACTTCGACTGACGGCAATTCTTGACTCTTGAAGCCATCTGGCGCAACCTCAGGAATGTCATGGAGCCATCGTCTAACATTTCCGCAACTGATAGAATCACTGCTCGAAAGATTGCATCGTGCGGTAGCTCTCAGACGTCGGGATTTTCCCCGGCCCTTTGAGGTTGTCGCCCGCCGCGACGGTCTAACGCGACCAAGGCGACGTTTTCGTAGGATATAGTATTTCTTTCCTCGTAATGATTCAACAGACCGCTTCACCCCGACTTAGTCCAAATAGGCATCAGAGCGAGCGATCCATAGCAGTTCGCTGTTCTCCTCTAACCAGGCAAGAAGGTTATCTTCCTCCCGTTTAGACCATGGTGTTGCACTACGCGAGTACATAGTAATAATATTATCCCGAAGATTAGAGGCTGGTTATGACAACAAATAGAGGACAGGTAGGTAGGCTTTGTTAAGCTTTAATCTACTCGTTTCGCATAAATTAATACCCGCTGAGCAACGGAGCGCCACAAAATTAGTTAACATATTCCGGCTATTTAATTTAGGTCAACTAAATTGATTGATAGAACCCGTTTCAACGTTAATAACACAAGTAATTCTCATCGTTGCTAAAAGAAACTAGGGGACATACTTCATACGCCACGGAGGTGGAGAATGCGACGTCGAATATACTTTGAGGGGTCGAACCATAGGACTGAGAATAGGTGATTTGTCATGTTGATAATTGAACATCTCAACGGTGAAACTAAGAGTTTCAAGTTAGTGCCATTCAACTTCATGTATACATGGCTCTGTACCTAATAGACACAATCTAGTTACTGTCTAATAGGACAAAGTGCACGTTGAGTTTGTGGGACCATTAACGTTAACCCGAGAAAACTTCAGACGGTTCAAACTACACATGGTGCCGGAAATGGAAAGTTTGGAAAACCGTGGGATTTTGGCTACAACTCAATAGGCAACGAACCGTGAATTAAAAGCAAAAAAGCAAAATACCGTAGATCGATTTAAAAATCTACATAATAGCCCTCATTTGAACTACGTAAAACAAGAGCCACGCGACCTCTTCCCCGGTCATAGACGCCAACATGGGAGCAGTTCGAAAGTCTACGTACACTGCACGACGGCCCGATTTTCGGAGACAATTACAACGTGCCCTGAGCCTGTCCTCTTTTGAAACAGAGGAGACTCATAGTACGTCAAAGTCATCCACTGGTGACACTACCGAGGACCAGCTATCAATTCACTCGGAGAATGATGGATCTAGCGTGCAAAGCGGCAGTGTTGGTGGTAACCACGAAGCCCAGATTGATCCTGCATTGTTTTTGACTGCTCGAGATGTGGAAAAGATTGAAGGTCAGAGAGATCTTCCTAAGGATCGCGACATGATTGCCTTGGAATGTGTTGCAGAGTGAGTATCACAGCCGTGACCTTTGAATTACTTGCGCTAAGATTGCATTTGGCAAAGGCTAGATGTCCGAATGAAGTAAGCCGATCTAGGGTGCATTATCTGAGGGAATTTGTGCGCTAAATATTGACATAGGAATGTGGAATCCTCCATGAATAACCAAGAAAGCCTGAATGAAGTGGTCCGCAGTGATTTGGCGAACATCCTTAGTCGATTGGCTATTATGGAGGAGAAAATCACCAAGGCCGACCCAGACGAGAGGCAGGCTTCTTCGGAGAATCGTCAGACCGAGCGAAGACGGTTTTCGAGACGATAAACGAGACCTATTTCAATCATCAGCCTTGTGCTGCTCTAGGGATTCATTTCAATAATGGTGACCTCGCTACTTGGTGATTATAAAGGACTGTCATATATTTTGGTTAAAAGACAGGTAAAAATCGACAGTATAAGTGAATTGACGTTCTGAGTATGGCATTCGCCGATAGCTAATCTATAACAATATTGCGAACTTATGCACTGTGTCTAGAATGCGAACCCTTGTAAAAAGGGGAAAGATGTGGTATCCGGAGAACGGCGAGAATTGGAACAAGGGGAGTGAGGAAACTCTATACAGTACCATGAAACTTTACGGGATCGTAGATCCCGGCCGATCATGATTACCGTCGAAAGCTTGAAAGTATTTCGGGCACTCTACCAGGCGGGGAAGGCTGGACTTTGCCTATGATTTCTGTAAGTACCGACCCACATTGTGCATCGAACGCTCTGAGGAGAATCTGTGAACCTTAATTCGGTGGGTCAGACTCAATTGAGTTTTTGGTGTCATTTAATACGAGGGCCAGACCGCGAATCTTGATCGGTGGAGGTGCGGAACATCCTCTGGGAAGAATTTGTCATTACGGCGGAAAAGATCTAACCAAAGGCGAAAGTACGGGCCTAGCGGACCCCTTTACAAATTTCCCCCCGTGCGGCCCGAAGGGCAGGTTTTTTCAAACGTGGGGCGGTCCCACAACCAGAATGTTATGCGTCATGCATTGTCTCTACAAAGCATAGTTCTAGAAGGACTCTGGTCTACGTAGATTTTTGATATTAGAACATGTCGGCTTTGTTCTAAATAAATCACATTCAACCCTTGGCAACTGACTCAACGGCAAGATACAATCGCACCACAACTGCAGCCATTCACCCTAAAGCAAGGGTGATGTTTTAGCTTGTAGTTGGCGCTTGGTGGGGCAGAATGGAATATTCGCCCATTGCGGAAAGTTCGGGTAATGAAGTAGAAATCAGAGGCTCTGATGCGCGTCCTTGACCAGGCCACATCCCATGCACCACTCCAGAACCTGGCAAATAGGTAGCCAGCTCTCGGTTTTGAATCGCTTCCACACTCCTCCAGAACTGCGTGGCAGCGGATACCAGCTCACCATGTGCCTGATACAACGCCGGCTGGATATCATTCCATGCCACTTGGCCCTGCATGGTGGAATTGAAAGACTCAAGCTGCTGTTGCAACTGACCAGCCTCCATGTGCAATTTTTTTGCTTCGCACGAGAGTTTCTCGTTCTCCGCCAGCACCTTTGTCAATTTAGCCATCTCTTCTGCCTTTTCCATTTGGAGCTGCTGAATTTTCTGGGTACTTTCAGTTCGCTCTCGGTCCTGGTCCTCCCTGGCCTTGTACAGCTTTTCTTGGGCCCTGTCCATGTGTTTGAAGCATTCTCTGTGAATTGACCAACTGTCTTGGCTGTCGTCTTCTCGAGGTCTTTTGTGTGGGAATGACAACTTGCAGTCAAGGTTAACATGGGATCAAATATTGCGAAAAGGGCGAGCAAAAGGCTGCTTTTAATTGAAGGATTCAAGAAGCCGAAGAAACCTACCTGGTCCGTAGCTGAACGCTTGACTGATCGCAGTACACGGTGTTCAGCGGTGTCGGAGGCAGCCGATCGTCGCGAATGAGCTCTTGCTAATTCGCTTAGGTTGAAGTCTGCCTTTGATCTTGAGCTACCTTTCTCACTCTGCGTAGACTTAATGTTGGGTCGCATCGTGGAATTTCAGCCGAGGACAATTGGAAGCTCGCGAGTAAGAGGAATAAAGATAACAGTCGCTCTCCTTATTGGGGAACTGATCGATTATATATAGGTGATCATAACACAGAATGTGAAACATGAGACGCCGCTAGCCAGAATTCAGGCCATACAAATGCTGAATTAACATCATAATGTTGCGCCTTGGTGCCATTGAGACAACCCATTGAGGCTGGGAAGGCGTTAGTGCGGAAGTTAAATTGACGCTAGCTAAAGAGAATTTGATCTGCCTGCAGAAATATTAGCTTCGGATCAAAATGCATGCAAAAAGCACCTTACCGTTCTGAACTTGATGGGGGAAATCGCTACACCTCACTTTCATTGCGCTCGAAAAAGGCTTGCAACATCAGTAAAATGACTCAATATAATGACAAAGTCACAGCAAATCCCACTACAATGTGTCTCTGAACCGTTCGAAATGTGGACCCTGACGTTGAATTTGCCTAAATTCTTGGTGGTAAAGGTACAACAGGAACTGTTTCAGATCAATGCTACAACAACTTAAAGCGTAACACCCACAGGCCCATCTAGAGTATCTGCTAGATTTTGACCTTTGAATGGCGATAAGATAATCAAAGGTATGAGGTTTCCTAAATCTGTGCATCTAGTCACAATGTGATGATCGAGGGACCTGGCGTGGCGGTAGAAATGAGGAACCTCTCTTAAATTTAGGAAATTCCATAACAGCAACTTGATTTATTACACAGCATGTTGCTAAGATTCGGTTCGTAAACAATTGAAATGCCGTAAAAGAAGATTCCCTTAATTAACGTGCTGAGTTCACATTAAAGGGCACGACCATAGCAACACCTACGTAGCCCCAAACTGAAAGCCCCTGACCCGTGGTAGAAAGCTAGCTTACTCCATTTTGGCCAGTAAGAAGTACATTTCACCGCAAGTTATTTTGCAGAGGTTGCGCGTGCCTGGGTCTTGCTGGCTGTAAAAGACCGGGGTGGGTCAAAACGAAATGGCCTTCGTTCTAGAAGTTTCTTCCAGATAACGGCCCCCCAAAGCCTAAACTGTCAATAGGAACCCACTGAACTTGCCCTCTAGGCCATGTAATCATTTTCAGTTGTGAGATCCTTAGAAAAAATGATCTGTTTGGGAGAGTCTGGGACAACCATGACCAGGGTAGGAGATACCCACTTTGAGTGGCCGGAATAAGTAAGAGTCGTGCGTGCTTGACTTCTCAGGACCCACCGGCATCATCCACGATGTATAATTCCAAATTCAAAGCCAGTAATTCATGGGAATTGTGATGTAAACCAACGTGTTCCATGGATCAGCTGTAGGAATTCGTACATGCATTATTTGTCCATTCCATTGTTGACTTCTGGGCTGTTGGAACAGGGGCATTTCCGCCCACAAAAGTGCGGACACAATCACTGACAATCATAAGTCCAATGTTTGCTCGCCCATGGATTTCTAGTAAAATAAGTTTTGTGGCTTTACTCGGACTCCTCATCGTGGTCACCCAGCCCTTTTTCTCCAAACCAAAAAACCCTTAGACTCGAAGGAATTTTCACAAGTACTGATTCGGAGAGATTCAATAGGATGCTGGGTAAAATCAATCGTACTTATTCTCATTCATCCTGTCGTAAATCGAAATTGCGCGAACAGAGTACATCATGACTTTTGAAGGTGAGCTCCCATAGGATGTTCTACAAATTGAATTCCATTCTTGTCTGATTATGTCACACAAGTAGGTATAATAATAATTAGGTCTGGACATGATATTTCACTTGATCTTGTTGGTCTCAGTTCACAGCCCTCGTCTTTTCATCCTCGTCCTACACTACCATGGACACAATCATTACCAACTTGCCGCCCAACGTGGGAGCCATCCTCATCGAGAATATCTCCATCATTCAAATAATATCCATGTTTTCCATCGGTGCCTACAACGCCCTGGAGACGGGAATTGCCGTGTTCGACTCGTTCAAACACTACCGCGGGCTGTATTTCTGGAGCATGTAGGTAGCATCATGGGGCATACTGGTCTATACGATCCCAGCTATGATACGATTCCTATCTCAGTCATCCAACCTGGCCATGTCAATTCCATTCATTTTGGGGTGGTATGCCATGGTGACTGGACAGGCCGTGGTACTCTATTCCCGCCTGAATGTGCTCGCGACTGACCCCATGAAGCTCCGCTGGGTGCTGTGGATGATTGTTATAAATTTTTCCGTACTGCATATTCCGATGACGGTACTCTTCTACGGTCTGAATAGCGGTCAAAGCGTGTTCGCTCGGCCGGCAGCTATCTATGATCGGATCCAGGTGACCGGATTCTGTATGCAGGAATTCGTTCTCTCCGGGGTCTATATTCATCAAGTGCTGGAACAAAGGAGCCTTAAGTGAGACCTACATTGCCAAGAGGACCGGAAAATTATTCGTCATTTACTTTGGATCAATATTCTTGTTGTCTTGATGAACCTACTGCTGCTTGTGGCCGAGTACAAGCTGCATTACATCGAAGTCAGCCTCAAAACCGTGGTTTATAGTATCAAGTTGAAGCTGGAATTCACGGTCTTGAATCGCCCGAGAAAGCTGGGATTTACATCACCTCCTCCTCTGGCTCATCAGATACCCGAATACGCCCGACAAGAGAGCGACGTCAATCTGGTGGGACGATCACGCCTCCACTCACGCCAAGAATCCAACTCCGAATCAGTGCGTACGGAGTGTGGGATCAAGGTGCCACCTCGTGTCTCGCAGCGACCTAGTATTCAGGCCAATCGTGAGGCCAAGTGTGATGCTCAATCCGACGATACGAGAGTCCGGGGTGCGATCCCGTCTTCAAATGAGTTGACGGCTCCCTCAGCCTGCTCCTCAGATCAGTTAACCACGTCCTTGTCTACTCTGGAGTTGAATCTTTCAAACTTTACGTCAAAATTTGACGTGTAGGTCTTGAATTAACGCAGTTAGAACTTTTCTCTGGTGGTGACTCCGTAACCGAATGGGTCTCGTGTTAGAAATTTGATTGAAGGATTCTCCTTATGCCAGGTATTTGACGCTACATATATTAATTCATTTGGCATTGATCAACATGAACGAGGCGTTAGATCTTACTCACTCTCGAGATGGGATTTCTACAATGTCTGGCGTATTGGATTCTGTGAAGATATTGTTGAGATGAGGGGATAGGAACTAGAAGGAGCAATAGCATATGCCAGCAATTGAATAACATTGGAGACATCTGACTAGATAACCCCTGAATCGGAGCGTACAAAGCATGCTTCCCAATTGTCCACTTTACCTTATAAGGCTTAGTGCGTCTCAGGGAGGATGGCAAGACAGCCATCAAAGCCTCAGCGGCAGCGAAGACTGCTGAAACTTAACAGACCAGAGCATACATAAAATATCCGGGAAGTCCTTGGAGACAAAGTACATTTGTTTCTAACAATATGAATTCATCAAAGGAGTATAGCCTGCTATAACTAGTAAAGATGAATCAAAGTCAGATTTCAAAAGTCGAATAACAGGCTGTGCTTGTCCTACAATCGACGGTTCTTTTCTGGTACGCGAGAGTAAGTTCGAATCATTTCAGCTATCCCCTGTCGTTGCTGCTTTTGTAAAACTTTCATGTGGAGTGGCGACATGGACTGACAGTGACTGCGACTTGATTCTGAAGCTTTCTCGAAGGAAGCCATATGACATTCCTCCGCCTCATCGCCGTTGTCACCCGCATCGGGATAGGCAGAGAGCGGAGACACCCCCCAAAATGCCATATCCTGATTGACGGAGACCATAGCGTAATATTTTTGCGAACAGTCGAGATTAGCAAACGTGACAGATGTCCGGCTATTTGAAACCAATTGTTGTCGACAGCCACAGAGTGCCTTCGGATCCGGAAAGCAAACTAAGATAGAGTGATCAGCCATGGAGTCGACCATTGGTCAGGTGAAAACATGTGTCGCTCGGAGTACCTACCTGAGTGTCCATGAAATAGCGATGAATCGATAGCATCGCAGCTGTCTCCATGAAGCACGATATGATACTCGGGTTTAGAACGACGCGCAGTAAACGGGAATTCGGACCCTTTGGTTGTCCAGATGACTGACAGTTCAGCTTTTCCTGATTTGTCAATTGTCACGCAACGGGGCATATAGCGGAGACTGTCTCTCATACACCGGATAACCCAATTCTGAGTGGATATCGGGAGAGGGTGTTCAGTGTGCATCACATGAAGTGCCTTCCGGCAGAGCTCTTCCAGAAGATGATCGCAGAGGCCACTGGATCGGGGCAAATCCTCCTGCGCTAATTTCGACGCAGTGCAAGGAAAGATGCAATGAAGAGTAACAGGGTTTTGCCACATCGGGTCAACATAAAGGATGTTATCATCGGGGTGGTAAGTCATTGGTACCAAGTCATGCCGTCTTTCCAAGCGGATCTCAATATCAGGCGACGAACCGGAAAGGACGACTATGGTATGTAAAACCAAGCGTATCTGTCGCGTGGATACGGTCTGGGGATCTGTTGATTCTTCGCTACGTTTCTCTGGCTTCCCAGGTGTTGAAGTGGTTGAGATCTGACGGAGTCCACGAGAGGGCCTGGGAACTTTCTTGCGAGCAATATAATATGATGATGGTTCCTGTTGGAGAAGCATGAGCTGACTGATTGACTAGAGTACTCCAAGCAGCGATTGCAATCTCACAGTTAAGAACGCATTTCTTGGGCCGAAACGCTGTGCGATAGATTGGTGAAAGGAGTAGGTTAGGAACAACGTGACTGATGCACCCGGGGACCTTTTGATCAAAAGTGGCCACATTAATGATAGCTGATCTCGGTGTAATCCTCCGAAAGACCGAAGGATGTCGATACGGCGGACTAAAATCGAGAACAGATGTTTCAGCCTGTCAGTAATGGTGCCAACCAGATTGAAATGCACGATCACAGAAACTAGGCGTGGGTGCTTTGACTCGGCTTACCTCGAGAATGGTCTTGGAACAGGATGCGTTTTTCCGTGACCTGGTTCCACTGAATTTTTCTGCGGGCCAGGATCCCCGAAGTATCTCGAAAAGACCCTTTCTTGTAGATATTCCTGTTCATCCGGCAGGGAAGACCTTTCACTGGGTTGGAAATAGCGGCTTTGATGGAGAGGCGATCGAAAGAAATCATCTTCTTCTCTTGCACGACTTGGCCGAGAGAAAGAAAAGAGTGTTTATAGTGGCAGGCCAATCCCAAACCATAACCCCTGAGAGCCCTGTCACTAATCAATCGCTCCGAGGAGACCGTCATTCGGGGCCTTCGGAGGATTGAACGATACATCCAATTTTGTGGTTGAGAATCGATAAGCATAGCACTCGAGCTAAGGAGATTAATAGGGGATTCAGTCATCCGGCTGCTCAGGTCTTACTCGTATCTGCATGTCTCAAGAGAAGAGGATTGTGAGCAATGAATGGGTCGAAATAATAATTCGCCCAATCCAACGCGTGATTGGAGACTTGCGGTATGTCTCGTCCACGGGGGGTAACAGTTTTCAGAGTCCATTCTGCCTGTCAAAGTTGAATCGGATAGAAGAGAGCTGAATATCACTTGATCACTTTATGTGTCGTGAAATTCGAGAGCAGGGTTTCTCTAAGAGTCGGCTTTATCTAAGTCCCAGAAGTGCTGTGTAGGTGTGGGAATTCCGTCAGACAAGTGCGGTGAAAAGTTGTTCACCGCATCTTTCAACGCTCGATCATTGCCGTAGAGGAATAAAAATGGTTTAACGCCGTTGAATGTCTGGGGCCGTCAACGTGCAAGAAGTACGACAGGGCCTCAATCCAAAGTGCCATATCCAACAGCTGATTTGGAAGTACACGGGATAGCAGACCAGACTAGAGACGGTAAACTTCAACGGTGTGTACAAGACTGACTATTGCCCAGGAGAGCGCTAAGTACCGACAACATCCCTCCTTTTCGCCGTTGCACTTATACGTTACTGTCGATTGCAATTTTCTAGATGGGTTAAAAAGGCAAAAATAGTTCTTGGGAGACTCTAATTACAAGCATGCGGCTCGGATCAGTCTTCCATCTGCAGATCCTCTGGACTTTCGGTTGCTGTCTTCCCCGCTGTGACTTCCAAAACTTGAATTGCCTTGGCAATTCTGACTTCTGAACTCAATAGCTTGTTCCTCAAATTGCTGTTCTCGAATGTCGAGTTTTGTAGCTCGTTGCGAGTGTGAGAGAGGGCTTGATCTAGGCGGCAATTTTCGGCCTGTGACTGGTTCAGATGTTCATGAGCGCAGCTCAACTCGTCTTTCAGCTTCGAAATTGCAATTTCAAGCTGCAAAATCGTTTCTGTAAAAGAACTCGAACATGGTCCTGCGATCTGACCCTAGATTTTCAAGTGTTAGAAACCACGCTAACCACTCTGGAAGAATCTGGGCATGCCTCATTCGCTTTGTCCTTTGCGGTGCCCTTCAAGACCTGCACAGGAACCGCTTCAAGAGAGCGCCCCAATTCCTCGCAGATGGATTGATAGAACCAAAGGTTGCCGCTACTGAGACTTTTTTTCAAGAGTGCGGCACTCGTGCCCGTGGCTGACCAAGAGTAACCGTCACTTGGGAGGGGTTGCAACCGGACCTGGCCTGGTGCTATGGTGAGACCCAGTCGCTCATCCACGAAGAGGTTAGCAGTAATTTGAGAACCATCATGAGATCGAAGCTTACAGATGTGGGTGGACAAGGCCTCGCGACACTTGGTTCTCAAGAGTGCTCGCTTAGAACTACTGGCTCTGGTCATTTTGGCTCTCCGATGTAACGGATGCTGTCGATGGGTAGCAGGCAAGAGCAGCTTCAGGAACGCATCATAGTTTATAGAAGTTTGAAGCCATTAGATTGGCTCTAGATATGATAGTGGGCTTATAATCTTACCACTTACCATCGCTTTTCCTGTCTCAGCCAACGTTTAACCGTTGAATACCGTACTTTCCTGACTGCCGGGCTGAATGGCCCTCCGACCTGAGGGCCTGTATCTCTAAGTAGCGCACCTCGAATGAATGAGGGCAGTGTACCGCATGACAGTCTAAAGCCTTCTGATTTGAGACATCATTTTCATTGCTGCAACACCCGCTATATGTCACAGTCAGAAACGATATTCGGTAGAATTGGAAGCAAACAGTTCAAGCTTAGCCAGGTTGGGTGGTTTCCTGTCTCTCGAATATATATAGCAAGTTAATTTCATCTTCGTCTGTTCGCTGTTGATTCAAGTCGTGATGTCTCCCAGTACTCGCCAGGCGCTTCGAAAGAGCGTAAATAATATGTCCGACCCGGAGAAAGTCCCGCTACTGGAGCCATCCAATAACGTGAAGGAACTGGAAGCAACCGGGGATGAAAACCTGCAGTATCGGAACAATGGACGTGACTCCAAGTCTTCCTACTCAAACACTCAGACGATAATTCGAATGCGCCTTCGTCCAGGGCCGAATGGGCCACGTCTCTCCTTTCTGACCGTCTCTAAGGAAGGGACGAAGAAGAAAAGTGGGTTTCAAAAGATCCGCAGTCACGTCGAAAATACGAATCCCGAAGAAAAACGACACGATTGGATGAGACGACTGCGCCCAAAGCCTCATCGCTGCGTCAGCTAGCGACCGACGTCTCCCTCAACACACAGTCTATCTTCTCTTTGGCTTTGGATGAATTACAGAAGATAGTTTGTGTTGGTATGTGTACACAGTCAAGACAGTTTATGCTTCTAAGCAAAAGTTGATTGATTCGTATAGGATAGATGTGTCTTTCAATTCCTCATCCAATGCCCCTGAATCCATGCGGCGGGAGCCGCAGCTATTAAGATTACGTCCAACATGTCTTTGCTTACTCTGACGGGAGGATATGTCCGACAGTTTGGAATGGTCGATTCGACCCATATGATAAGTATGATTGGATTGCTAGTCCGGAATTGCAGAAAAGCTCTTATGATTTGTGTAGGTCATGTTTTGAAGCTAGCTAAATTGGAATCATTGCTTGCGCTTTGACTACCTTGCTTTCATCTTGAATAAATGTGTGTTGCTCTACAGTTTTTAACATACTGAGCGGCCAGATTCTCCACTTTTTCCTTTGCAAAGATCCATAGGACGACTTTGTGAGATTCATGACAAAATATGAAAGTGATCACGATGTATATCAAGGTGGGCAAATCATCCGCATGATGAATATAAACAAGCTTTCCAGTAATTGAGATGACCGCAATCAAGAGAGGTTTTAATTGTGGTGAGAGGGTGTCAAACAGAACGATCTATTAACTTCGCCACGTTGTTCTACGTTGGAAATAACCCACCCCACTTGTGCCCACAGTAGAAGCACACTCACGCGCATTATCCGAAAAGGGGGTGCTGAAAAATTGTCCAAATGGCGATTAAGATAAGTTGGACCTGGTAGAATCAAATTAGAATCACGTAGACCAAGCATCCATTTCAAGCGAACTTACCTCCAGTGCAATAATCCACAGCTTCCAGACGGTCCCAATAGCCGCAGTAGTGAGCAAAAGCAGAACCATGACAGAGACATACAGCGCGATCAGTTGTACCCTGGCTCGACCGTCTAGCGCTTGGCCAACCAACCACCAATACCAAAATGCCACCCCCAAGTAGTCTAAACATAGAATATACAGAATACCCCAGTGTAAGCGGTCCCAGTAAAATGTTCCAGTGATAGCCATAGCCGCCTTTACAACACTAGACACTGTGGCGAGTATTGGGCATATGACGAGAACACATCCAGGCAGAGTTGGGAGCCGTCGTTGTTGGAAATCAATTCGAAGAAACTATGACTCGATTAGCCCGCGATTCAAAAGTTGATAGAATGGTGAGACATACCATTTGCAGGGTTGGGGGTATAGCGCTCATCTGAAGTAGGACTTCCCGCCCCACCGGCGCTTTATCAGCCCAAAAGAGCCCCGCTAAAGTCGCAGACATAATGCAGGATAAAGTGTTTAAGCTCACATCCGCCTTGAAACGTGTCCAATTAGCTTTGAAATGGAATAGAAGGTATAGTCTGATCAAATGCATCAGTGTCAAGAAAGTCACTAGGCTCGACGCGGTAATGGAGAGGGATATCATGGCGCCGTGACCACAGATCTAATGATTTCAATGGGAACTGACTGTATAGGAAAAGTGGATGCATGGCTGCAAAGCTGTGTTATTTATCCAAAGGAGCTCGACATTCTCCTAGGAGGACGATAGTCCCATCCATGATCAAAGAGATGCATTTTAAAAACTGCTGGGCATCTCATGGCAGTCTCATTTGCGCATTCCTCAGGAAGCTGGCTGACGCATTATCCAGGATAGAAGCCGTGGCAAATCAAATTAATACTATGCCGCAAGAATGACAGATACTGAGCAAAGTGAGCAGATTATTGAGATGAGATTATTTAAAACGTGCTGCTCCTTGAACATTCCCATCCATATATATCGATCCGATGGTCCCGTCTCCCAAAAATATTTGTAGTCATGAGGCTGGCTCTTTCAAAGATCAATGAAGCGATTCTATCATTATCGGTTCCCCAGCTTTACGGTGCTGTTGTTGCCGTAATCTGTCTGATATGGCTCTCTTGTGCATATGGGACGCTCCTTGTGGCATGGTGCTGGAGGAAAGGGAAGTATGTTCTCTGGCCGGGGTTTCTCTCTCATGTCTCGGAGACATGGCGCCAGAAAGGGTATACGATCAGTTGCGCATGCCTCCAGTGGATTGACATCAATGACACTGTACAAGGCTTGTTTGTGGTCGTGCTGCTGGCTACAAACATTCTGGTTTTGGTCTTTGGTGCTGACTCTTGGCACACTATCATGGGGAGAGCTGGGCACCTTGCTGTACTCCACCTGGTCCCATTATGCTTGAGAATGCATTTTGGTCTACCGGCGGACATCTTCCGGTTGAGAGGAACACATTTGCTGGTTTTCATCGTTGGATCGGCTTTCTTTCAACGGTTCACTCGATCCTCCATGCATCTTTCATATTCGAACCCCGCAAAACCATGACAATGACACGACCGAGCCAAGTTGTGGCGATACTTGTGAGTGATTGTCCTGTCGGCACCTTTACAGCGCTTACTAACCTCAGCTAGGCTGCCGTAAGCTTCATTCTAGCCGGAATCGTCACGTCTAGGCTTGTCCGACGGTATCATCCACAGTTTGCCTTGAAATGCCACTATCTTTTGATATGCTTCATGGTCGCCGGAACGGGTCATCACCTTATACAAAAACAGTCACCTTACCGTTGGATCCTGCTTGGGCCATTTGTTGGTGGTTGGTTTGCACGACGTTTCTCGGTCTACGAGCACTGGTCGCATATTTACCCTGGAGATCCCCTAGCACGACAGCCCACCTCTCTGCGGCCGACGGCATTCTATGGATGGATTTATCAATAAAATCGAATCAACGATTTAGTCCCGGTCAATACATTTATGGTTTTTCCGGGCCGGATGGCGAGCGCTCAGCCAGCATGTCCTATGTTATGTCTCCGTTTGTGAATTCGAAGGTGCAAAAGAAAAGTGGAACATCCACATGGTTGCTCGACCCCACCGGAAGTTCAACCGAGCCCTTTGCAGCCTTTACCGCCTGCAGCGAACAGAGAAGGCTTTGAGGAGACAGCCCGTCGCGGTCTTTGGGCCCTACGGTCGATCACTCGACCTTTCACGCTATGGAACCATCATCTTTGCTTTGGAAGACATTGGTCTTTTCCGGGCACTCCCCTACATTGAGGCGCTTGTTCGCGCAAGTTGCCAAAGAAAAGCCATGGTGCGTCGGGTTGAAGTTCTTTGGAAACGCGAAAGGCCTTTCAGTAAGTCCACAAAGTTGACGACAGATTATGAGAGAACTAAAGATTTCAGTAGATAATCCTGAATGGTACAAGCAGTGGAGACAGAGGATATTCGATACCGACTGGGATCATTTTGATGTAAGTAGGTCCAGACACAGAACCTGGAGTCACTACTGACGAAAGATCATCCAGATTCTTCAGTTTCGGACGTTTTGCGGAAAGTCCAGCCCTGGTAGTCAGTCTGGTCAATGTCGACGACTCGGAAAACGGCTTTGGATATATAGTGCGCAGTGGACTTTGAAATAGAAATGAGGCGATATGTTGACCAACAGCGGGGAAAGATGGCAGTTATAGGTGTGTGTCTTGCCATGTGTTTTGTGAATTTACTCTGTCAGCTAACAATTCAATAGTCTGCGCAGGCCCAGATACTAATGTGGCTGTTCGAAATGCAGTCGAAGTGCACTTTCAGAGTTCGGCCCAGGTTTTTGGTCTAGACATGGGTCCGAACCATAGCTGGTCCGAGGAAGGACATGCTGGAAAGGATGGATCGTCGGGTCGTCATCTGAAAGAATCTGCTTAATCTGAGCTGAAATAGAGTGTCATGAAGAGAGGCAAGCCATTGTGCGAGAAAGCTTGATATAGCCCTTTCTATTTCTATCCGACTTGATTCGTTACTTAAAGTTCATATATGCTACGCCTTATGTATTTGTTGACCAAGTTAAATTGCGCACATATAAATTTCCTCCCATCGTGGCCCATTAGTTGAAACGTCGACAATTCTTTTGCCGCCAAAAATGGACGAAACCACCTAACTATGAAGATGCACTTCTCTAGGCTAGGTTGAGTTGGATAGGAAGAACCTTCCCCAAAGGGCGCATCTGAACAGGCGACAATTGGTGAGAACTTTACTATATGTTCAGGTACGAGAGGGAGATGAACAACCAACTAGCAGCATTCGAGGAAATAACTAAGCGGGGGGAAGGGAAAAGGGAAGAAGAGAGAGAACTGAAAATGGTGTTTGATATATTTCGTGGATGCCCGACGCACTAAACATCAACCAAACGTGCATTATCACATATATGAACGGCCACAGAACATGACAAATGTAGAAAAACAGAATCTTTTGTTCTCCCCAACTCTGACCCTCTTGCTGAATATGGTTTCGATTGCTTGCCTGGCACAAACTGCTTTTTCTCAAGCAGTTCGTAGGGCATTGGGCCTGCTTTGGCCATTGTTCAAGACATTCGCGATGCCACTTCGTCGAATACAACACGAGAATATGAGATGAGACTGAACACGAGGATCAAATGCATGATATGAAGACTTGGGTTCCAGTTTGACGTGACAATGATTTTCTCGAACGGTTCGAAGAGGTAAACAGCGGCGCCCAATGTGCTGCTGAGTACGAAACGCCCAAAAGCAGTCGCCAAAGATGAGCTCGTAGTGACGGGCTCTGCAAGCGCATGCACGGTTGGAACTAATGCCAATAGAACGACACAGATCATATGAATCGGTAATCGAGGGGGCGGGGTTTCGGTAACCGTCTTATCTGCGGCTGCGTACTCCGGCAAATTCCCCAGGGCTATGATAGTGAAAACAATCACATATCCCAACTGCAGAAGGGGCTGTGCGGGAAAGAGAATCACAATCGTGGGAAGAGCTGCTGTCCAAATAAGGAACAATAGGCCACACCAGGTGATGTTCTTTTGTTCCTGAGCTGTGCGAACCTCAAATACGTTAAACGCTTGGTGAGAGGAAACACACAAACTCCAGAGTATGACGCCGCTGCCGAATGCAATCATCGATAGAGCCATGGGGATGTATTCTTGGGTAGCAGGAAAGCGGAAAATGATGAATTGACACAGGAATATGGAAAAGTAGCCCAAAGTGAAGATGCTCAGCATACAAGCTACAGTAGCATCAAAGGGGTTTCGTTCGTCAGAAGTTTTCATGGTGGCAAGAGTAACGACAGGAAGACTAGCCTTTGATCCAGACCAGACATTAAATCGCCCAGATTTATAGAAGAATTTGGTAGGCCTCTGGTATATTGACAGATGAAAAGATGAGACTGCGGACTGCACCACATCACCGTTGGATTGGTGAAACAACATTCGTAAACGTTAAACAGGTTGATCTTCCTTCACTGGTGCTAATCACATGAGATATTATTTTCTGATCCTTCTGGTTACATAATATATATTTCAAGGATCCATGAGACTTTGATCATCCCTAGTTTACCAACCTAACACGATAGAAGATATCGAAGACATCGTGCGGAGAATGGGACAGCAACAGGCGGAGAACATGTACTACCGGGAATGCTACGCGCTCTTCAAAAATCTGCAAGATACCACACAGTAGACCGTCAACAACTTGAAACAACTCTACCACGGCCATCATCACCCCTCGTCAAATGTTCATGAAAGCCTGGCAGATCTGAGAAACACAGTTTGTGTTTTGGTGCGAAACGCCTGTCAGGCCTAGCTAGAGTGTGAAGATCTTTGCCGAAAGCGTCCCTCTCTTTCCGCCTATGATGCATTCGGGTCAATAGCAAAAATATACGATCCGTCCGAATCTCAAACCGGACGATCGGGGGAGAACCGAGACCGCCGAGAGAAATTTGCAAACAATTAGCGCGGTTGGACTTCTTACGCTACAATGTGCATTATTATCCTATGCCGTTGCCTCAAGAGCAAGCAAACATGTATGCACTCGCTCGGTAGCACTGGAATTGCAGGTCGCTTTTTCTTGTTGAGAATAATTTCAATTACAAAGTGCAGATAAACAACCTGTCTATGGTGTAGAAAAGACCAGACCCCACAAATAGTGTTCTCTGGGGGCATTCGATACTCAAATACAACAGCAGTATTACTAGATCAGCCAAATGACAAGTGCCCCAAGAGAGAAAGCAGTGGCTAGCCATGTAGCCACATAATTCTGTGTTCCAATAGATATCTGTACACCAATATCCGCCACCGTCCTCTTAGCACACGCTACGATAATTACGCAAAGAATGGACGAGCCTACTGTGGCTGCTAAGATAAATAACGAAGAAATCTGAGACAATTAGTAGGGGTCAAACAAGTCATTAGAGGAACACCTACGAAGCTCATAACGGCCAGAAGTCTTCCTCCTTTCAAGGAATAAACTTTGCGACAAGCAATAAGAGCCGTAAGTGCGTTTGTGACAAGTGCGGTGATATACAGCCAAATGATCGTTCGTGCGAGCCGATGGTAGCCTGAAACCCCTCCCCAGTCGACCGTGGGCACGAGTCTGCGTACATCCTTCATAAGAGGACCAAAAATAGTTGAAAAGTCGAACATGAAAGCTGTGCTTGGATGTGAACATTGTATTTTGGACCCTTCTCGCTTCATACAATAGCTCCAAAGGCCCACGGAGTAGAATTGGAACAACTAAGAGGACAGCTTCTGAGCTTCTTCGTTCATCTTGTCACCTGCATCATGTATGGCAGCAGTCGTGGTTATGGATACCCCTTCGGCGGCGGCCGCTGCATTGTTGGCCACGCTGCCCATGACATTGTTGTGACCGATAACCTCGTCTGGGATTTCGGCTTTTGATCTCACATCAATATCGTGTCGGACGAAGTTTGTGGCGTGTTTCAATCGTGGAAAACCGGTCGTATTCACCTGGGCTGGTCAGCCTATTGTAATCTTTGGCAGGAGGAAGTTTACTTGCCTTCAAAAAGTATAGGGATTCGGGGGCAGATGGAGATGTGCACGCGATAAAGACGACAATTAGGCATATCAGAGAAGCAGTCGACAGGGCCAGTGCTAGGGATGAGATCGCTTGATCCAGTCTTTGGCCAGGGAGCTTCATCGTTTACAGACCTCCCAGACTGCCGTAGCAGCACTGTCAGGTCAGGCTTTGCTAGCTGTGCTGGTATCCGGGGCTTAACGTAGATATCATCTCAAACTGGGATGGATACGCAGACGATATTTAGATATCTATAGTCCGATGTGCTGGTTACATTTTGTTCAGCTCGCAGTAAATCTAGGCACTTGGCTTCCTCAGTAAAAGGAGCACGGCGTTTGCTGAGTATACAATACAGACCAAGAGCCGGTTCTTGAAAAGCATGAATATGACTGGTGGGAATTGGCTATCATGCCCTCGTCAATTTGAGAATAAGATCGAGTTATAGATTGCTTTAGAAAGCAGGACTGTCTCATGTTCTGGAAATAGCTTCGTTTGACTTTGTCTACAACTGTATAGCAATCAAAAGAGCCGTCCCGACTCGGAGACCGCATCTCATTATTGATCTAAAGTGGATGGAATGGAGCGAAGTTGTCTCACAACACAGGCTTGCTGGATTTCAGCTGATTGAAAATCTTGCATTGTAGCTGCTCGGACAATTCTCAGCCGACTGATGCTCGATGTCGCAGACGCTTCCCGAGAGCCGATCCCTTGTCTTGAATCAGTGCCCCGGTAGAGGATGAAGCTGATTGTAAATCAACCTAACGTGTGGTGTGAGCCTATTCTTTGGGATGAGAGTGCATTCTTCATTGAACACTGAGGTAGTGAGGTTGGATAGGAGAGAGAAGGAAGAAGTGCTGGAGGTACGATGCTTGCCCTCATGCACTTCAGTCTCCGACAACCAGATCGCTCAAAACCAACTAGCCTATTTAGACGCAGATCCCCAGTGTCATATAACGCTCCATATAGATACTCGATAATTGATTCTAGTGATGCCGCTGATGCGGCTTGGTTCCGGATCTGCACAAGCCTCAAAATCACAACAGGATAAAATGACTGCCGAGGTGACAGGCAGGCTATCACAACTGAATGATCTCAATCGTAACGTATACCATGTATCACACCCTAGGTGATGATATACTTCGCGAAAATTACCACTCCCTGTTGGCTAAGTTGTGGGAATATGAACGCGGAGGGATTCTGCCAAATAGATCGTGTATATACGTAAGAACATTTATGGTGAGCATGCACACGGGCGGAGAGGTTATGAATGGATCATTTTTAGTGTACGTACGGCCTGTAGTGAATAAGATTCGGTGGGGCTTAATAGTGAGGTGAAATATGTTAGGCACAAAGTCAAGCTGCGAGGTGTGGTACTAGCCTTGTTCCCTGTATGTTTTGTATGGTAAGGCGGGTCAAGTCGGAATACTTGCCTGCATTGTAGATGAGCGTACGCTCTCAGGAGCAAATCCACCACATGTTATGTTCTTGAATCGATGACTTCACTCTATCCCAGCAGGTACCAAAGTCAAAAAGCATGGGTAAATCCAAGCACCGCGGAAGTCCGGTATCGGCGATCAGACGCCGGGTGCGCCTATCAGCAGCAAGGTTACCGACGCCGGATTAGGGATAACTCCACTGCCGAGTGGAATCGTAGGGTGCGCCTATTTTTTGAGATCCCTCGTATGGTAATTTTCCACACTTTTACAAAAACACAAACATGGTAAGACTACAAAATTTAAATACTCGAGTACGGCGGCCTAAACACAAGCGGGTCGCAATAAAGCCTTTGTGCACCACGACACTTTCCTACCCGCCTGTGGCCACCCCAAGGTAGGCCACGGAAATATTAAGTGTAGAAGTCCCTCAGCAAGTCACTCTCCAGTATAGTTGAAGCAAATCGTCACGCTTTATGCTACCAATCTGACCAAAAAGATTCGACAATTCGCCAAAGGACGGCCAAATAGGATAGTATACAGTCAGGCTTCGTTCGCAGCATTCTGTGAAACCGTCTATTGGGAGAACGAACAGATATTGATGAATTATCGCTTAACACTTTTTCATTCCCGAGTTTGAGTCATCTCTTTCGGAAGATGTTGGAGGAGGCTGCAATAAATAATCGCTGTTCATATGATGCAGGACTTGGAACACCAGTCGTTGCATGTGCGCGTGGGTGCTGGTTGGGGGATTTTTAGACCATGCGGAAGATACATATCGGAACAAGAGTAATACCGCCATACGTCTCAAGCTCGAATGTGGTTTGTGTGTTATGGAATCGCTAAATTGTGACCTGACTGCATCTGGGTTGTTAAGGTCATCTAATTTCAAATGCGAATCCGACGACGAGTCTGCAGAGAGAACCATCGATAAGAATCGCAGGGAGCTTTGGTGAACCGTCTGAGCCAGTCGCCTCAGAGCAACTTGCCTCCCCATTCTGAGAAAGCGTGACCGGCTAATTGGTCGACTTTTGCGAGGATATAGCCAAGTAACACCAGCAACTCGTCTTTGAAGAGACGTATTCCCATTTTCCATGCTAGTATAAGTCGGGGCCGACTTAAATTTATCGGGAATCGAAACTCGAAAGGGTGCTTAGGCAGTCGGTCGGGTAGCGCATAGGATGTGCAGAGAATATAGATCTTCCGCGATCCTCCACATCACGCATACAAGGAATCTCAAGAAAGTAATTTCATCACAACCAGACTACATTAAGGAAAACAGGGCCCAGTCTATAGTGTTAGGGTTGACATAGGTCGAGTTGCGGATAGACGACGTACAAAATTTTTACATACGCGAAAAACGTGGCGGTGTGAAGTGAGATACAAGCCTTTTTAAGGACGCGGACGAACCTAACCGTCTACCGCCACTTCCGCACAACCATTCAATATTTGCCTGTCCATACTAGACTTCAATACCGGTTGGACATAGCCTTACTCAACATTCTTAGGAATAGGCAAAGTGCTAGAAGATAGTCTTCTAACCCGCAAATTCCCGTAACAAGCCCGGCTGCAAGTTTAATCTGAGGTGCCTTCGGTTAAGAAAGCCATCATAAAGTTTAGAGCTGTTAAGGCGTTGAAGCTTCCACACCAACAGGATTAACGTGTGTTGAAAGTTGTTTCACCGGCCGGCATTTTAATGCTAGTACAGGGACTTAGAAAAGGTCCACGCGCAAATAGACATTCGTTAGCACCTGGAGTCTCCACACATAAATACGACAGAGTCAAGACATATAGTCAACTACAGAAAACGATTCCCCAATAGCGACTTCTCTAAGTCGCGTCAAAAAAGAACAGTTACGGAAACGTCGAAATAATCTCTTGCGCCGCCATAATGAATTTTGGCTCCTATATGCGATAAAAAGCTAGCTTATCATGGAAATGCCAGACGGGCAGATATTCACGTACCATTCCCATCCTGATAGTGCACCTCCCAGTCGTGCGAAAATCGTAAGATAGTCACTTTCTGGGGTTAGTTCGGCCTTACCGCTGAAGAGATTATAGGAGCAGCAATCCAAGCCAACAGGACGGAAAACACCACGCGATTATAAAGCTGTGGGACAGAATTTGCCGCCAATTAAACCACAGCCTTCCACGATCGAGCCGCTGATCCGACAGGATAGCATTTAGGATCATCTGGCCTAGTACATACAGCGGAATAGTATATCAAAAGGGGGCTAATTCCGTTGGAGTCAAGGTGCATATCTTTGACATGTTTTCAGAGGCAGTGATACTAAACATTTCAAATGTTTAATAGATCTTGGCTTTGTTTTCTATACTGAATTGGGAGTCACTTATCTTTCTGAGCTCTTTTAGATACTAAGAATATTAAAAATATTTTCTCCTCCCGACACACGCTTTCTTTCCTAGCACCCCGCTCCGATTTTTCTAAGCCAGATACAGCAGAGGCTAGACGTCTCTAAGTAGAGGCTAGCTAGATAGCTAGCCAAAGGGCCATCTTAAAGTTCGATAATCTAGGCTCAACCTTTGGTGCATCCTAGGGAATCTTTTTCGTCCAAGATTTTAGTCGAGATTCAATATCTATCTAATTACTACCCTTATAAGCAGCTAAATCCAACTAATTTTATAACAGGAGTCCTCCAGGCTTATCTATTATACATCACTCGAAACCAGCTACTCGTAGTAACGGTATCGGGGACGAATGTGTTTACTTCGCGGCAATTGAGAATCTAGGTCACGAACCAAAGAGCGTCATATAACTCAGTCAACAGATATAATAAAAGTATAACCAGTAGACCTACTAGAAAACCCATATAACTCTCTGACCCTTGCATATCTCGAATAGGAATATTGTACTCGCGGCGACTCCTGAAATTAGCATACGGCTCACCTATATCCGAGATGTTTATACCCGATGATACAGATGCTTACCCGGCTGTTTCACTGGATAGGAAAGCTAATTGGTAATTAGCTTGCTATATAAGAGAGATCAAATTCACTTACCGCAACGACGGCAAGAAGCATAATTCCCACAACCACATTCAAGACAATTACCATGATCTACTACCTAGCGGGTCTCTGGGAAGTGGCCCAGGTTTGTAGGGGTAGACCCAGTGAATTTATACAAAGCCGCGCAATAGACCTAGGACTATCGGCCTCATAAAGATGCCTTCAATATCTGGGTATAGTATCTTTAAAGAGGCGGAGTCATAAAGGGTCTAGTAAGGATAGGCTATCCCATAATTATTTAGCCCTCACCTTCACGAGGAGCTTTCGCTTATAAAGAGTAGATTCTCCATAAGACGATGACCCTTTGCAAAGCTTCCGATCTCATCTCTCAACTCTGGCAGATTGAATCAGTACGGTCTCTCGTACGACACAACATGAACGATGGTAAGAGACATTGACCAAGATGGCGGCGAATCTGGTCGTGTTATACTAGAGCAATGCTAAAAGCCAAATAGGGTCTCCTCCAGTATCTCTCCCATTCAGAGCCCAGCATCTTATATTACGAGAAATGCAAGGTCTTTTGGAGAACTGTTGCTTCCACTTCCTCCAGCAATACCTGCCACAAGAAACCCTCGCCCACGGATGGACTTGCCCGGAAGCCGTTGAGCTACATAAGGCTTTCTGGTTCTTGGTAAGACAAAGGAAAAACCTGCGGTCACAGTCACAACCTATTCATAAAACCATTGCGACGATTCGAAAATGGCGACATGTGATCCCGAGCATTAGACACGCTGCCGTCCACCGCATCTGGCAAGACTCCGCAGCGTTGTTGAAAATGTGCCGAGCCGCAGTGCTTTTCACCAGGTCTCTTGGCAGTTTCAAGAGTTCCAATTCGCTTCTGAAACTGTGTCATTTTCTACAAGACCAGCTAGCACATCTAGACTTCCAGTCTACGCAACTGGAATGCAAGATCCGAAATTTGACATCTCTGCATCACAGGTCATCGTCACGATTAACCTCTCGCCAGTTGGCGCTACTCCCTGAAGCGGCGAGAAGGATTTTGCAACGCTTTGACGAAGATTCTACTTTGAAAATTGAGAGGTATTTACATGAATGTTTCTTGTAAGTTGGAAGATTTGTGGGCTTAGATTAGTCTTCTAGCCGGGGCGCAATCAATGGAATGACAACGTAATCTGCAAAGCTAAGCCACGGGTCGCTCATATTCGCCGAGATCTGGTGCCATCCCTGAATTTCACATTCCAGACTCAGCGATTTTTTGAAAGCACCCGCTTTCATAGCCATTCAGTTGGTGAATCGTCATTCGTCTGTATTCCGCATTGTTCTTTCCATTGTTTGATTGCCTCAGACTCATCCGTACGAGATTTGTCAAGCGCGATCTGCAAGAGAATGACGGCTCGGATCAAGCGCGGATCTTTGGCAGGGACAGCGGCGGGATTGAAATGATACTCCAACGCCAGGGTTTGGATGGTGTCCATTACCGTATCGGCAAGTTGGTGAAAAATCTGGAATGACTTCCTATAGAAGTCGTTCTCACGTTCTTGTTGGTTGTGTTGGCGCAGCTTTTCATCTTTTAACTGCGATAGAGTTTGTGAGGGGCCATTTTTCCAGCGTTGTAAGCGTGAGTGAGTAGTCTCCAAGGCCATCGTGGATCCACGGCATTTGGCGAGGTGATGATCCAGTGCAGTAATCTCAGGCCTTGCGGCGGCGCCAGGAAGGTTGAGCGGCGGGGGGTTTATGGGTAGTATCTTAATTGAATTGGTATTCCGGCTGTAGATGCTGGGGGCACTGGATCTAGGATCTTTCATTTTCGGAGTCGACATTTTTTGACGTGAGAAAGCGTGCAAGTAATCAATTGGATATGGTGGGTAATAGCGTAAATGAAATGTACTAGATGTGTTGAGCAGCGCGGACAGTCTTTGTAGATTTTTCAGTACGCCTATGAAACTGCTAACTAAGAACAGTCAAGTTGTTGAGTAATGTGGAAGGTTCATTAGGATCTAGAACATCGTTGATGACAATCGAATCAACCTTTTGCGAGACGGAATATTATAAACCCTCGAGGCGTCAACCACCAAAGACAGGGTTTTGCAGCGGGAACATGCATTGTAGCAGAAAGACCTTTGGCGTTGAAGCAAAATAAAAGACGCGCCCATTCTATCCTGCCCGCGCAGTGTGATTGCCACTACAAACATTACAGTTACATTTTTCTTCTTTTCGATGACAATTCCTCGATTTGTATCCGGCGTTTTTGGCCTCGCATGCAATAACAGCGCCTGTTCGGAGGCCAAACGGGCATTTGATGATCGGGACGGCCAAACGGAGTATAGGCTTTCTGATTGGCCAAGAGGTCATGCACGAATTTTGGCATGCCCCCAATTCGATGATGGAAATCCTTATCGGCAATTTCAATCGTGATTTCTTCTTCTAGGCTATGCACCCAAAACGTGATTTCCTTGCGGAAATACCCACAGCCTGTACAGCAATCTTGGAGGTCCACATGACCAAGATGCTCGCCTTTTCCAGTCTGAAATCTTGCTGCGCCAGGAAATTCCGTCAGGACGCGATGGATGATTTCTGCCGACCGCGGGTGGGTACACAAGACGGAACCTCGACAGTGAAGCATCCCTTGGTTTTTGGGAAATTCGTCCATTTCAAAGAAGAACGTTCCTGATGCGAGCATCGTTCTAAACAGCTCGTCCGACACGATAAATCCCAATGAGGACAACATCGTCAGCTGCGTGATGTCGTCTAAGTCAGGGAGCGGACCCGGGATGGCCTGATACAAACGGAGTACGTCGGATCGGGCAGACAGGGGAAGATAATTCAAGGCTTCTGCAAAACCCTGCGCTCCATCCATACATGGTGAGTGTAAAGTGGCTTGAATCAGTCGAGGCAGAGCCCCGTCATGAGCACGGCTTCTCGCCGGTCGGGCTGTGGGTTGTGAAAACCCGGTTCCCACCGACAGCAACAAGTCGTGCTTCCGGGCCGTAGGCCAGATCACGCTGGATTCTCGAAGCGCGATAGCGCGAGGATTGTTAGCTCGCACCCCTCCATCCTACAACATGCCTAGGCCGGGCAAGGTTTGAGTCGAAAAGTAGCTTCGCTAGGTTAACCACACATCCGTTCAATAATGGCCTCCTTGGGAGTATTGCGCTGCACCCGTTTCCTGGTGCTTATCAAACCCTCATGAACCCCTCGTCAGCAGGAACCGCGAGTATCAGATAACGCCAATACTTACTTACAAGCGATTCACAGAGTCCACATGCCTTCTTGTGATGAATACTGTCTACTATACAGTACCCATGGTTCTGGCTTACTGACTTGTGTGCAATGAGGCTTTCTTCATCAGAGATCATGACATGCTCTCCTGGTGGTCACAATGTTTCGGTGCAAACAACTAATATACACTGCAGTGCAGAATCTCGGTATCTGAAAATGCTTGAGGAAGTGGAAAATATGGAGGTGCAATAGAATCTCACGATGAGTGTTACAAACTGGGCTCTATTGGGTTATCTGGTGATACCTGGCACTTTTACCACGTTACAACACTCGAGTCAAATGGAAAAAGAGTTAAATGCCAATGACACTGGTCGGGAAATCCTGCGCACTATACAGAATCCTCCGCTGTTGATCATTGCTCGCATTCTATTTGGAACCGGTGTTGTGGCTTTGGTCTGGCTGTTGTGCCAGCGCAAGCTTCGGATAGGTTACATATGGCTATTCAATAGAATATTCATGTAGGTGTACTGCCGCTCAAAATAGTGCTGTCAGTGGGTCCGTGCTAAATCAGGTCAGGCCGATGTCTTTGAGCGCTGCTGCTGGGTTGCTTACCACGTATATCAATGTGTGTACTTCTAAGGGCCAGGACTGATCAGCCATGGACGTAGCAACATGGAGTGTAACAGGATTGACAAAAATGACCTTTTCCGTTCTCCCTTAAATTTCTAAGTTTCACTTGTTCGAGAAGGTTCAAAGAAGCACTGGACGCTCACGCGCCTTCGACGTAACTAGGAGCACTACGAGGCGTCAACGCAGTATTGTCTGGAAGCTAAAGTTGTGAAGAAATGACATCCCGGACAAAATTACAGTATTCAATGTGAAATAGTTAGTCAATGCTGTACTGCACTGTGAATTTCAATCAAGACCACTTGAAGCAATGACGGTGCATTGCGCACTTTTTGGTTTTAGTAACCGTTGTACCTATATTGTAGGGTATAGTCTTCACTGTAGAATAATAACCCACGGACAACTAGAGTATGTGAAAATTTTTTTCCTGGTCTATCTTAGGGCGCCAAATTGCGAGAGCAAGGGTAGATGATCTTTTCACAGTCTCTCTCTCTTTCTCTCTGTATGATGAATCTCCTGATATTGATGATTTCGAGAGTAGTTTACTATAGTACTCAGACATACCCCCCTTTTCCCTATGTCGACACCATATGCGGTAAGCTGCCTCTTTCTAGATAAGAAATATTTTGTGTGTCTGTCTTCATGCGACATGTATCATTGTCTGTGGGAAATACGAAACGCGGCGATCCGAACTGGTCGCCGCTTCCGCCTATGGGATACTTAACCTGTTTTCGAATTCCTCTGTGTGGGGAACAGCTTTCTGAGCGTAGATTTAATGAATTATAAATGATGAGTCTCATAGTTGAAAGAGTAGCAATCACACAATGGAGGCATGATGAAGCAGAGACGTAGAGGGGGGGAAGTTGCGTAGTGGCCAAGTGATAATAACTGTTGTAAATCACAGATCAGTAGCAAATCAATAGTCAATTTCTTCCTGCCGTCAGAATTTCATGCTGTCGGTTTCGTGTCGGAGACAAAATAATGGTCATATTTGTAGTCGGGTTAAACAGGCAAGAACGGCCTCGCTCTCTCCACAGACAGCCAGGTGACATTGAAAAAAAATTTCCAGTTACAGATGCCGTCAGGATGCGTCTGTTTGGGAGGGTATCTCGACCTGGTAGAGCGACACGCACAAAATGGTATCAAACAGAGCTTAAGTAGATTTCTGCTGACCAAGGAGAAGCAGACTTTTAAACTTCCCACTGAAATACACAGCAGGCAACCACAGAGCCCTAAAGGCCGCCAGAAAACTAAGACAGTCGGTGTATTTTCCTTGGAGCTGCGGCTAAAGGCTGGGTCCGCCGCGAGGTGAAAGTCAAGTGGAAGAACTTACCGGCCATAGACAAAACAACTCGACCAACCACACGTTGAGAGAAATCCAAGACATTGTAGCATTTCTGATTCAACCAATTTTGTTTCCGTTTTCAATCATAATTCAAATTATACAGTATTTTCCAGAAACAAATGTTCATAATTCTCTTCCAAAATACAGTAGTAGGTGATACGAACGCGGTGATACGAACGCGGTCGATATAAATCAAATCTCTCCATCTCCATCCTCTACTAATGCCAATGAATGGTTCCCATCAACGTATCATTCACATATGTGAATTATACCGGCAAGAGCAATTTGATACGCAGGGATCTGCTGCCAACAAGGTAGTCGACGTAATTATTGCTGTAGAATGCTCTGACGAAGCGGCAGCGGACGTGACTTTTGTGTTCAAACCGTGATGAAGAGTGAGAATACCAGTGCACGGGGGCGCATCCTCACTAGCGAGACTAATCACATCGGAAGGAGTCTCAACAAAATTTCCGGGCTCTGGGAAACGAATAGCCACCATTTCTGTGGTATTGCAGCCGTTGATGTTGGCGATGAACATGGGCGGGAACGAGGCGTTCGGCTCCCCAGCCATCACTGATTGATTGTTGCCAATCACAGTGATAGGTGCGCAATTCATGTACATCTCGCGGTTGCCGATGCGATTGAACCAAGTCCATGCCAATGTGTATTGGCCGGGCACGATACCTTCAGGTATTCGAAAACCGAGGTGGAGGGAGTTGTCGGAGTCGGCGCCCCCCACAAGCTGTCCTTTCACATTTGCAGGGCACCCTCCCTCAAACGATTTGATGACTTTCCACTCGGAATCTTTCGTCGGGACACGATCTTCGGTAAGACAAATTTGGCATGATCCACCTCCATGTGTTATACTTCCTTCCAGTTTCAGTACCTGATCGTCCCCAATGCGGTAGGTTGCTTCTCCGGAGATTTCAAATGCACCTGGACGTAGTTTACAGGGAAAATCACTCCCATCTGCAGCAAGAGGCGAATTGTTGAGACTGTCTTTTCCGTAGGGTTCTGGTTCCATCACCATTAAATAGGCCTCGGCCCAAAGAGCAATCACCCCGAGTGAGAGATATTGTTTAATGATCATTGTGGAATAGGCAGGTGCTGGGAGCTCCAGGCACAAAAATTTCCCAGTTTGTGGATAACGAAATACAGGATTCGTGGATAGGTTTTGCCTTGAATATATAGGACCTCAATGGAATCCAGTGGATATCCGAGCTGGATATTATGGAGCCCATGAAGATAAAGAACGACTGTCGAGTCGTAATTCATCATCTTCTGAAAGTCAATCGATATTGTGGTCTTAGTGTATAGATTCAACTAGAACAAAATGCATATTTCCCTGTTGGCTTCTTTAGTTCAACGTCGGGAAAGTTGATAAACTAGTGGATAAACGGCCGTTGAGAACACAGATTACATGACGTGCTTGGGAACGTTAAGCAAGGTATATCAACGCAAACCAAAAGGAAATCTCGTCAAATTGAGCTCTATTACAAAGAAAGGGGATTGGCTGCTATATCGAATTTTTTAACCATGATTGCTGACCGTCAGTATAAATGTGGGACAAAATATGATGGTACGCTCATAATCAATGCAAAGTGCTTCTGAAATCAAGCACACGAAAGGACTGAATCAATTTCCTCTTGTTTACTCTGGCAGGGATTATACTTTCATAATGAATGCGAAATCCAGGCCTAAACCAGTTTCCACGCACTCGGTTGATCAAAAGACACGAAGAAGAAGAAAAACGCTGTTCAGAAAAGCTTCTGAGTACTGCTCAGAATGCTTTGCAGATATCCAAATAATTATTCGATTGAAGAAGACTGGAGAAGTCTACATTCTGACATCAAAGTCAGAAGGCTGGCCACTTTCCCAGACACAATTGGTATGAATACATTATTCACCCTTCTTCTAGGCACACTGCAACCTCACTAATAGTATCACAGGAAAGATATTACCCAATGCCGAAAGTAGAATTTATCAATCCGGAGCCATAAATGTGGCAGAAGATTCTCGAGCTCTGGTGTTGTGCGCTTTTGTTGGGTTTGCCTAACCACTTCACTCAAATTCAGAGCGCTGTTTAGCTTTTCCTTGCCATTGACCAAGCCTCTTCAACTTTTTCACTAGCCAAACTCTGACCCATGAATTTTATCATTTCACTTCTTGTGATCCAGCTGTACTGTAACCCCTTGGGCAGAGCGCTTGATTCATTGGCTCTTCCCTGTCCATTCTATTTTGAGATAAGTCCTGGGTGTTCTTGAATGCGAAGCTTTGGCTGGATATCCCATTGAAACAACACCAACAATGCGTTTGATGTTCACCCTTCCGTATTTGCGTCGGTGAGACCCCTGTGGATCGGTAACCTGTACGCTTGGGATTCGGCTTTGAGGGTCTGAATCTTCTTGAAACGTCGCAACATGAACACACGACATAGTGCCAAGAATATATGTGCACATATCAATTGAACCAAGCCGTACAGTGGATTTCGAAAACAGTTTACCCTCTAGACACACACGTTTACCCTCCCAGAGACCCAATTTAGCGCCTATCCAGATCGCCCGGGTTCTAGATTCTCCTACAGCCAATGATACGGCGTCAGATCTCGGGCAAGGGGCATCATCTAGCCAGAATTAGCCTAGCGCAATCGTAGTGGGGCGCTGGGAAAGAAAGCGTGTGGGTCTGGGGGTAATCTGTTTTCGAATTCCTCTGTACAATGGCTCTAATTCTTTCCCCAACTACACCCCACGCATCTGTCTGTCGTATTCATCGTTCGTACACCCACAGCCCAAAGGAGTGGGAAGGATATCATGACTCCTTTGCCGTTGCTGTATTCCTTGAGGGCTTATTTTCCTTGAGAACCGGTATAGGATCTCAATATCTTGGCTTTCTGGATTGATGTCTCTGACATGCCTTGCAAAATCATTCAAGCCTAGCTGGCTTGCCCCTGTTTGACTCTCCACAAGCTCAGGTCTGATTAAACTGGAAAAGTAAGTTTCTTTGTCCAAACCCACCCTTTGAGGATCTGAGCCACATTGCATCAGAATAGGATATAATTCCCTTGAGTTATTGAAAGTGTGCAAAAGAGCCTTATCAAGCTGTATTTGGCTGGCGGAATATGCCAGATGCCGCAATAACTCATTTTTTGTCTGACTATTCCCCAGCATTATAAACTCAAGCGCAGATGAATCAAAGGAGTTGCGGGCGGCAAGATCGGCGCCGGAGGTCATCAAGTACAAGATAATCTCCTCATCGCCTTGATAACACGTGTCCATCAGAGGCGTGGAGACGCTATCTCCGTCATTGACATCAGCCCACGCACGGACGAGGGCTTGTACAATAGGCAAGGAAGCCTTGGATGTTACATATGACGAGGGTGTATTGTGAAACTTACAGTATCACACTGATTTATGTAGACAAATCTTTGTGATTCCTGTCTGTCCTGAAGAATCTTGGTTATTTTTTCAACAACCGTCGTATCCTGACTCATAACAGCGATATCCAGGGGAGTCATTTTCGAGCTACCTGTATCAAAAATCGCGCATGGGTTGCCCCTTAAAGTAATAATCGATTGATTCATGGCAATCGCAACAGAGCCAACGATGCAATATTGGCCAATTATGTTCTGCAGAATAACAAACAGTCTCTCGGAATAGATCTACGGGAAGCAGTTTTCTTGTGTGAGCTGCCATGAGTAAATCGATATCTCGAGGTATTCGTTTTTCATTGGAGATGGCGTGTTGTATGATCTATTGTAGCCATCTTTTCGGCCATGGGTGCCGCATGAAAAGGTCCATGAGAGTATCAAGGTTCTAAGGCTTGGCCCGATTTCATGTTTGAGGAAATCTGTAGATGTCAAGAAGAAATCCCATCGACAGAATACGAAAGATACCAAATCTGTCACGTGGAGGTAATCAAGGATATCGTACAACAACTCGACAGGAAGGGACAAGATATGTGCACTTGAGGGTTGGATGTAGCTTATGGTATTCATATTGGTTTTCCGACGCCAAATGATCCGTTAGTCTTTGGCTTTTCCTTGCGCTGTACTGCTACCACTTTCACTAAAAGAGAATATTGCAACCTCTGAGACTTTGTGAATGCAGGTGACAGGGTTGTAGCTGACAATTTCATAAGCTTTATAGGGGATTATAAAAAAGTTTCGAAACCGCTGGATCTTATAGATGTCATGGATCGGCAGAAGCTTGCACGGAATATCGAGGATTCCTCAGCAGCGAAAACCCATAATTTGACCTCACATATCTAACATGCACTCCATTTGAAACAGACAAAAAGCTCCAAATTTGATGGTAGATAGATTTTTTATTCCTCTTCTTTCTCTTCCCTGCAATGCAGGAGTTACTATAGTGAAACGTAAGATGAGGTCTCTTGAACGAAGAAAAAGGTGTTGAAGTAAAAAATTCGCTTCAACTCACACTCATGGCATATAACTACTTTGATGTCAAGCTACAGTGCTGAACTCTAGCTTACATCGCATCACAGATGCACAGGTGATGCAACAGGCTATGAGTGCATGGGGTGTGCTTGGGGTGTGCTTGGGGTGTGCTTGGGGTGTGCTTGGGGTGTGCTTGGGGTGTGCTTGGGGTGTGCTTAGGGTGTGCTTAGGACGCGCTCCACACACTCAGTACACTGGAGAAATATTTATCTAACACAGAAGACTTTTCAACCATCCGTATTTCCTACAATGCTCGAGGGTGCAAATTATACCAGCCCATACTTCTATTCATATGGTACTGAAAGTTACCATCCACTGTGAACCATTTGCTCTCTTTATGGATTTCAAATTGTTGGACTATCTGTGCGCGTAGATCCTTCCAAGATCCGGCCTAAGCGACCCACTTCTACCTTTCCTCCCCGATAATTCTCAACAGGAAGACGTCTCAGGCTCCTGATCACTCAAATCTTTCTATTTTTTTGCTATTTTTATGTGACTTTCTATCTTGTTTTCGGTTATAAATACTACCTGTCTTGTCTAATTAGAAAGATAAGTTTGACAGATTTCAATTCACTTTGATGTCTTTATTATTCACGAGATAATTAGACCTTCTTGCGTCCAGTCTTTCTTCAATCTCTTTCCTTTTCGAGTAGGGGAACCGTTGAGTATTTGAATTGATCATCTTTTTGCCCAGTACGCTTCTGTGTGTATATAAATAAAGCTTTGTACACCGCGTGTAAAGCCGACACAAATGCAGTCCAAAATTTGCTCCCACTAGTATTACGTCGAACCTTGATTGTCTATCTGATCTCACCACAGCGTCTGCTTACGCGTACTACCAACAGCATACATTATTCACAATATGTGCGTCAGGAACTATCAATTACAATGCAACTGACTCATCCTACTAAGATCGTCTATCGAGCCACATATGCCGAAAGAAAGTTCAAACTTTCATGCGTCTCCATATTGACAGAAGAAGAACTGTCAAATCATTTCTTTCTACCCCAACCTCGTCGGAGACTTCTAGTTCCTCGTTTTTCGAGGTAACCCTATAGCGAATCTAGAGGGCAGGTTGCGACCTCTGGAAAGTACTTCGCAATCCGAGTAGAGGGTGATTGAAATGCTCGCCGTGCCAAGAAGATTCGAGGTGCAGCTAGTGCTAGGCTCATCGATCGTATTACCTAAACTATCATGATGTGCGGATATTAAATCTATTAGCCAAGAGCAGCCATTCGAGACATTTCTCAAAATCAAGAATTTTGCGATACCATCAGTTTGCTGTTCACATAGGACCTCCCTTTCCAAAGGGCATTTAATCATAGAACACCAAACATTTACGGAAGGGGTAGACCAAGAGCCGGTAAAGGTAAGCGAGAGACAATTCCATGCACTCCATGCGCATGGTTCAGGAGTTCCGATTTAGACATCAGACTTTTCCCACAAATGTTGCACTCACAGTGCATGTCGCTGGAGAACCGCTTGATATGTTTGTTGACGAAGTGTCGGCTGAGTGAGCCGGGGTTCTTGTACATTTTCAAGCGTTCACTTTCTCGCTGATGGGGATTACCAAGACATATAAAGCATATCGTTGGTCTTTCTTCTCGAGATTTGACGCAAACAGAAGCGATGGCTTGGGAAAACCTATCGTCACTCTCATCTGAAGAGGTAGACTTTTGTCTCTTGGGCAGAGAAGAAGGGTTAGGTGTATCAATAGCATCGACAGAGCGTTTTTGTGGCGCACTAGGACGCCAGGGAGCACCCTCTTCCGCATCACAGACTGCAATAACTGCATTGATTGCGGCAATGCGGCGTTCGTATTCTTTCGTGACCGTTGTACCGGGCAAAGTCAGGATGCTGTCAATGAGCATCATATGCTGCGGTGTCATGTAGCCAGTTCGCTGCAAAGCGCCCATGACTTCTTCGTCGATAATCTTTCCAGACATTTGCTGCTCGCTGTCAATCACTGGCTGTTCATTCTTATACCGCTCTAGGTTCTCACGGATCAAGCGGTGCTTTTGCCGTCTCTTCTCGTTACGTAAATGCTTCACTGCGCGATCATACTGCTCGTCTGCATGTTCGAATTTTTGACGGAACTTTTTCAGGCTTTTCTCCTGAGCCTTCCTCCGCTTGCGGACGGTTCTAGAAAGAGTCGCACTCTCCGGATCACCACCGAACTCTCGTTGAAATGCGGCCTCTGCATCTTCATAGGCACGCATCTTAACGTCACGAATACGCTTTCTCGCCTGTTTCGTGTCTTCCAGGGCACGCACGCAGGGGAGATCGTTGATACAGCTTGAATCCCCGAGCCGGTAGGGCCTGCGAGGGTCGATGGACCGACTCATCGAGCAGGCAAACCGCATGAGTTGTTTGTCAGCAGGCAAGCCCCGGACAATGGCCTGCGCATCTACGTGGATACCCACACTGTAGTGCCGCACAAATGTATCAATGCTTGCGTGCTGCAGCATGACGTTCTGCAATTCATTCGATACGTCCGCTGATTGAGAAGACGGCATTAGCCCAAATTTCTACAATCGCAATGGGTCACTCACGACTATCGTTGAACGCTTTTGCTGCGCCGTATCGAAGACAATATGGCTTCGCTACTTCCGCAAAGCCAGTAATCTCACCACCTCTTTTCATTCTATAGCCCAGCCATCCCCGGGTAAGTGGTATTTCTGGTGCAAATCGAAACCCATCCGCCTCCCGCAAAGCTTGGCAAAACACATGTTGATCCATGATTTCGTCTTTCAGCTTTAATTCCTGTTCACCGAGACCATTTAAGACCCGAAGACGGTACAATTTCTCAGGGCAATCCAGCACAGGGCTATCATTGGACAGACTTTTAAATGCGCCGATTCTGAACAGAATACCCAGCAGAAAAACGTGAGGACTGAGGACCAACGTTGGATCAAAGATAATTTCCGGAATGGGAAACGCCTCCCTGTATGAACAATGGTAAGAAAGAGGGCGTAGAGACGTATGTAACAGAACCAGGCAGGGCAAACGTCAGGAATGGTGTAGTGATCAGATGTCACTTACGACTGCTTTTCACCAAGAAAGCCTTTTGTGAATTCCGGTCTGAGGTAGATAAAAAGCCGAGGACGTCCTCCGTTTGGATCCCGAATTAATGTCAACTTAAGATCCCGGAAGCGGAGTTTCAGTAGCGCCCCTGGACGATTACCGGTGATAGCGGCCAGCTGACAGAAAAGGAGGAGCTGTATCCGATACCAGCCACAAGGGAAAGTCATCTCTGTCGTAGACAGGATCACTCGGGCAAATTCAGCTACATCCTCGACAAACATGGTCGCTTTTGGGCGTTTTTTAAGGGACAGTTTCTTCTCCATCGCAACCACCGCGAGCACCTAGGGAATGTCAGTCGCATGAAATTGCCGATATTCATAATCATCGGGATCTCACATCACGAATCTTAACTTGGATATCTTTGCTGAGGCCATGTCCAACCGCGGCCTTGTAGATCAGATGCCACCACTTCCAAAATGCGTCGAGCGAGCTTTTAGTTTTCAGCCCCGGGGTCCGACGTCCGTCCTTTCCACGTCGCTGATCACAACGCCAGGAAAACAGAGCCTTGAGGAAGCGGACAGTCTCCTCTGTATCGGAGATCCAGGATAGACATTTCACTGGATCGCGCTTTGCGCCCTCACAGAACCTAGAACAATCAGTGACCTAATTACTGTACGCGGGAATACTACAGGGATGTCTCACCTATCCCAGAAATATTGCGTCTTATCCAACCTCTCCTGAGTCTTCGGGCTGTATCGTTTCTGTCGGAGCTGGGAGACATCAAGAGCCTCAGCCTCCTGGAGGTAGTATTCTGGTGAAAGCTGCTCCTCTTCATCTTCCAGTGCTAGTTCATCTTCAAGCTCATCGTCGGATTCACTGTCAGAGTCGGACTCCGATTCGCTGCTATCGTCGAAGACGCTAGGTGCGGTGGAAGAATCAGAGTCGGACGCGCTGTCCGGGAAAGTCTCGGGCAGGCCTGAGCTAGTATCGCTCTCATCGTCGGACGGAATAGGACAAGGAAGAGAAGGCATGGTAGCGGAACGTAGTACGCGATCGAAGAGCGGCAGGAAGAGCAAGGACAAGTCGAAGGACGAGAAAATGATCGAGGCTGATACGATTTCACCTGGAGCAAATCACCCGTTAGGAATCCAGACCTGGGGCTGGGGAAGTTGCTGAAGAGCGAGGGAGGACTGCCGGTCGGGGGCCATGGTGGTCGATATTTATGGAAATTTGGGGAAGCAGAACCGTTCAACAGAAGAGTCAAAAATGGCTCCCCTGTGCCAAAAGGCTGGCGGAGGGTGAGCGAGGATGGGTCGCTGCGGCGGCGACTGTGGCACGAAGGGACATCCATCGGTCGATCAATGGGGCCAGGCACCAGGCACGCCAACGCGGAGCACGGGTGGCAGTAAACGGGGTCGGCCGTGGGCTTTGGCGCACGTGACGCCAAGAACGCCCACGGTGAGTGAGAGGCCAGAAACGGCCGCTTTTGACGCCGTTTTAGGCCGCTCGCTCACCGTGTCATGCATATTATTAGTAAAGTACGTAAGGTTATAGTAATCTATCCGAATAATTACTATATACTTAGCTCCTTCTAAATATACTCCCTATATCTAGAATACTAATACTATAGCTAGTAGTTTCTTATCGTAAATATCGTAATTAATCTCTAATAGTATTATCTTACGCGACTAGAAAGTAATAGATCTAAGCTTACTATCTTATCCTAGCTATATAAGCTATACTCTAAGCGTAAAATCCGATATATTAGTTTCTATAATAATTAGTATATTATAGTTAAAAATAGCTAGAATAGCTTCTCCTATCTTCTTATTATATATCCCTTTTAATATATTAAATAACTTCTCCGCTTCTTTATCCTATTAAAATAGTACTTCCTTTTTAGTAAATTAGTAGAGTCCTATAGCGTATTTTAAGTATTATAGTATTAGCTTCCGATAGTAGTTCGCTAGTCTAAGAAAACTCTATTCGAGTATACTTTTAACTTTATCTTACTCTATCCCTAGTCCGTCGGGGCTAATTATATATCCGAGAAAGCTCGTTTATTAAATATAAAATTTATACTTCTTAAGTTTAAGTATAATCTTTACTTCCTAAAGTCGCTATAGTACCTTCTTATTATACTCGATATACTCTTCTTTAGTCTTCGAGAATACTAAGATATCGTTAAGATATATAATAACAAACTTATCGAGATATTCCTATAGTATATAGAAGATAAATCGTTAAAATAATACTAGTATATTAGTAAGACCGAACGATATAATCTTATATTTATAATATCCGTACTTAGTCCTAAAAGCCGTTTTCTATTCGTCTCCCTTCTTAATCCTAAGTTAATTATATACGTTAGTAATATTATATTTACTAAAGTACTTCGCTCCGTAGATAATATCTTAGATCTTATTAATTAGTAGTAATAGATACCGGTCTTTAATAGTAATATCGTTAAGCTATCTATAATTAATATATATCCTAGGTTCCTCTTCCTTCTTAGGTATAAATAGGATCGGATATTCTACCGAGGATTTCGAGTATTAGATATATCGCTTTTTAAGATTATCCTTAATATATTCTTCGAGTATTAATAATTCTTTCTACGATAGTAGATAGATTAGTATAAACTTTAGTTCCTCGCCTTCTCTAATCTTAATCTTATAGTCGAATAGACTATACTCCGGTAGCTTACTATCCCTTAGTAGCGTAAATATATCCTAGAATTCTATATATTCTATCGGGATCTTATATTTTTTGTTTAGTTCTTCTATAGTATATAGCGCTATTACTATATTATAAATAAGGATATACTTCTCTAGTTCCTTATCGGTTATATTACTTTCCTACTTAACTATCGCGATATCTTATATATTAATTATATTTCTATTAGATCTATCTCCTAGCCGGAAACTTCTCTTAAGTTCTCCTTTATAAGGGTTTCTATAAGTATCTACTATCTCTTAGCTAAGTATTATTAGTATATTCTAATCTCTTCTAGTCTATTTTTCGCTAGTAACCCTATAGTTATATCTAAAGAGTATATTATTTATTTACTAGTTAATATCGGGATTATATTTCCTTAGCTAAGGAATACCTAATACTATATTATATTATCTAAGTAGGATTATATCGAAGTTAATAATTTTAAAGTAATCTCCGATAACTATTAGTAGTAGTCTACTCTTATAGATAATCCCTAGTCCGAGACTCTCTCCGTTAAGTCTAATAATTAGTATAACCTAGGATTTCTCTTATCCCTAAATTTAATAGCGGCTCTTATACTCTAGGCTTATAAAATTACTAGCTACTCTAGAGTCGATTATTACTATAGTCGCTCTAAATATAATATTAGCTATAATTCTTATATATTACCCCTATATAGTTACTACGAGTTATCGCTATTCGTCGCGTAGTTTTCTTTTTCTAAACTAGACTCCTATATATTCTAGTTTCTAGTTAGATTTCTTTTCCTATTATAGAGATCTAGATTCGAGGCTCCTTTCGATCTTCCCTAATATATATATCTAGTATCTATCGTCGTAATAGACCGATATAGCTCTTAGATCATACTATAGGTATTATATATATCCTTAGTATATATACCTCGGGCTATTATATAGATATTACTCTATAATTTCTTAGGATTCTATCTCTTAAGACTATTTAGTTATATCTATCCCTACGACGGTAGATAGAGTTTCTAAGATCTCTAGGGTTCCTAGCGCTATACTTAGCCCTTCTAGGACCTCGTTACCCTACTCCTAGGTCTTATTAGATAGTTCCTAGAAGTCGTCGGTAGTATTCTAGGGACTATACTAGATCTATCCTTAACTCTCGATATTTTCCTAGTCGATTTCGGGAAAATCTTCTATTACGTACTCTACGCTAATTAGATTACGGTATTTAATATCGTTAGTATAAGTCTCGAAGATATCCCCCTCTGTAACTCGCTGTACTACTTTTATCCGCTTATTATATATATCTTAGGCTTCTTTATCTATTAGTTTCTATCCGGTATAATATATAGTAATTTATACTTTCTTACTATTACTAGTTACTTATAGTTATTATAGCCGAACCTATTCGTCTTAGATTATTCTTATCTATTATAGCCTTATATTATTATATCTTTCGTAATACTTACGCGTCTATAACTTTATATTATTACGCTTTTCTTTATACTTACGTATCTTATATCCTACTTTTCTATATTTAAAGTATAAGTTATTATCTCTACGCTATTTTTCTTTATTAGCTAGAAGCCTCGCTATATTAAGCTCTATTAGCTTAGGTCTATAGGAATCGCTATCCCTTATAGGTCTATTTAGTCGTTTATTATAGCGATAATATAATAGTCGGCTAGTACCTTAGTACTATTCTTCGATTTCTCTTTTTTCTATTTTTCGATTATATAGGTAATTATCGATTTATACTACTACGTCGATAAGTTTTTCTATAGTATCTAGTCGGTTAATCTATACTAGTTTATTCTTAATATATAGCTTAAGTCCGTAGTTATAGTATAGAATTAAAGCGTAATCTTCCTACTATAGTATCGCTATAAGTTATATAAACTTAGCTATATAGGTAGATACTAACCTAGTTTATCGAATTTGTTTTAGTTTATATTTAGCTATCTTCTTTATATTAATATTACCGAAGGTTTATTTAAGATACTATTAAAATATAGTATAGCTACTAGAGATTAACTATATAGTTATATTCTATTTAGTACTATCCTTTTTATAGTACTCGCGAATATATAGTTTAAGCTAGTCCTATATCTATCCTTATAGATAGACTAATATAAAGATAACCTTACTACCTTCGTTAATAAGATATCCTTTATTAATATCTATATAAATATCTATCTATATTAAGAACCCTTATAACTTTTATTAGTTACTATCGAAGGTCTTAGCCTTCGGGAGCTTAGGTACTCTAATAGTAGTTACTAGTACTAAAGTAATAACTTAAGTATAGAGTTACTCTAAGTAGTCCTTTATACTTATCGAGTAAACGTTATAGTTCGCGCCTAACTAATCGAGGTATTCTCGAAGTTAGCTAATAATAGTCTTAAGATTCTATATTTCTATATCCCGCTCGTTATCCGAGTTAGGTTTAGTTATTATCGTTCGAATAGGAGTCTTTCCCTTTAGTATACTATTATTACCTACTATAATAACTTTACTTTACGGTTTAAAGATAGGGCGATTAATATATTATATAGTACCGACTAGTTACTATAAAGCTAGGATACTTCGTAGGTTATACTTACCTAATCCTAACTTTAGATTCTAAGAGTACCTCTTAATTATACTATTATATCGTAATATCTTACTATAGGCTAGATCCTATTAAGTATCTTACAGAATATACTAGAAGTATATACCGAGTAAGTTAATTACCTAGTATTACTACTAAGTAAATCCCCTACTTATAGGTTAGGTTATCTTAAGATTAAACTATAAAGTATATAAAGTACTCTAGTAGTAACTAAATAATAATATATAATTAATCGCGAAGAACTAAATATATAGTACTAAATAAATATCCTTATATATCTAGTCCTTCCCGATAGTAGATATAATCTAATAGTAGATAGTATAGTAGTAGATAATCTTTAGTATATTCTATCTATATATCTATCTATCCTTCTACTAGTCTAGTTATATATATAGTAGCCGTTTCCTACGTCGCGCTAACTATTATATTAGGTAAGTCTATATAGGTCGTAACGGTTAGGTATAGGCCGAATCTAACTTCCTTATCTAAGTACTTTCCCTCGGGGCCCTCCGGGGTAAGCCTAAGTATACTAAGATATATATAATAACGCTAATACCTAGCGTCCGTAGAATAATTAGTTCTCGACTATCCTTAAATAGTTACGGCCCCTATATCTTCTTAAGATCCGTAATAGCGGGATCCCTTAATCGGACTACCTAGAATAAAGATCCTATAGGCGAATAAGGTATTAGTAAGGTTGATTCGATAGCTATTCGATAGTATTTCGGAGCTAGAATAGCTATAGATTAGAAAGGTAATATTAGATAATATCGATAAAGCGCTACGACCGAAGATATATATTAACCTAAAGAAAAAGCTACTAAGGTATTATTAGAAATAGCTTAAAGTATTTAGTTAATAACTTACGAATAAACTCCCTCCTTATCGTCTAGGGATTAACTATAAGATCCTATTAAAATATAACCGAAATAGTAACGAAGAATAACTACTATACGGACTATTATATAGAATAAATTAAGAAGAACTATTATTTCTACGAAAAATCCTAACTAATCTACTAGATAAAAATTTTATACGCGTTAGTTAGTTACTAGTAGCTATCCCGGTATTACTTATACAAAAACCTAGGGGTAGAGTCTATTTCTATATTAACTATAAGAGATTAAACGAGATAAGTATTAAGGACTATTATCCCCTTCCTCTAATTTATAAGATTCTATAGAATATAGCGAAAGTAAGATAGTTTACTAAGCTCGATATTATTATAGTATTTTATAAAATCCGAATTATCCTAGG